TAAATAGCACATGTGAAACGCGCCCTCTCTACTGTTTCTTAGATTTTCCTCAACTTCCAACTAGTCTTTCCAAAATTTCCCGAAAACTCCTAGTTTTGCCTAGAAATTTTGCATGAATCTAGCATAAAACAGGAAAGCAGGAAAGCCACGAAAAGTCAGCAAATTCTCCCAAAAGGTCAAGAGGGAAATACGATCCTTCTTCCAACAACGAGCAAATGCTTATTCCCCACTCCACTCTCCTCTTCCAACAACGTGCAAATACGACCTCCGTCCTTCACAACGTCCTTTGAACAAGAAAAATCGACTACCAAAGAAATTTGTTCTCGCAAGGGAATTGTTTGAAATTCCCATAAAACTTTGAGATGGAGACCTAGGATACAATCGATAGAGCTCGTGCTGTTTACGAATATGCGGATCAAAAGTGCTACGGGACCTCCCAGACGAGATCTGGGCGGTCAATGTTTGAGTTCTGGCTCGTAAGCGCTGCTGATGCGAGACCATTACCATGAGGCCACGGTGGCACTGCTTCGGCAGTGCCACCGTGGCCTCATGGTAATGGTCTCGCTTTCAAGTCAAACTTGTGCGGGTTTGCATCCGGCTGGCGCTCAAATTTTTGCTTCGCTCCCTATAAGAGCTTCAACTCTAATTTTCGAACTTCTCTCGAATTCACGGCCCAGCAGGGCAAGTAGATCAAGTACATCAAGTGTACGACTCGATCTAGCATTGATTTGGTCATATCTGCCCTCTCTGATCATATTACCCATCCGACAATTCAAAGTTTCGCCCAGAATCGCAGTTTGGCCAGACGAGCATTTTTTCGTTGAGGTACTCGTGTTCGGGGGGGGGGGGTCGAAATCTCCCATGAACGAATTTCTCGCTAAAACTTTGAATTGTCGGATGGGTTATATGTTCAGAGAGGGCAGATATGACCACATCCATACTAGATCGAGTACGTCGTATACTTGATGTATTGGGTTGGCACATAAGTACTACGTTTACGTACTTTCGTTTTTTTTCAACCGGAAATTTCGTTCCAAAGATGATTTGTTTTGCTAGCAAGCTTGATATCATTTGATAGGAAACTTCACGCAGTTTTAGAATAGCAAAACGGCTTCGGTTGAGGGAATAATTTTTGTGGATTTTTTAGTCGTTGAAGTTGAAAGCGAAGTCGGCAAAAACTAGCACCTTCGACAGCTGCCTCTATTTACGTATAGTCGAAGTGCTAAAATCGCTCAAAGAAATGAGGAAGGTCCGCGATCAGGTATCGAAGTTGAAAATATGGTGTGGGGAGGGTAGTGCGTTCCGCGACGAACAACCCTGTACCGTTTTCGCGGAAAAAGAAGTGCAGGGGAGGGGCGCTATGAGGCAGAATAGATCCAGTGGTTCCTCCTTTTTCCAGTGACTCCGTCTCCCAAGCGCCGCCCTTTAGCGAGAAACCAAGTTTTCGGACGAGAAAAGTATGGACATTTGAGCCCCCTCGTTATTTGTACGGACGTAGGGTTGTATTGGGTCAGCTGAGTGCACAAAGGGGTACAACTGAAATATATTGCAAAATGTATGTAATGCAAAGTGCACGAAAAGTTGGAAGAAAATAGCATCATTTTGAATTTGAAAAGCATAACAAACTCAAAAACAACAAAGAAACATTATGATGCGATGAGTTCACTAAAAAATAAGAATATAAAAGGTCAGTCTTTCATACGTGGCGCCACATCTACTTCTGGCAGCGAGCCAATAACGTGGAACTCTCGTCCATAAGCGCTGTTTCCCAGTCGCATGCACGTACAGACCAGGATTGTAATGGGGTCCTACTTTGGGCATTGGGCATGTTTTTTCTGCTTTTTTCTTCACTATTGAGTTACTCTGAACCTTGTCCTCTTAATGCGAAGCCCAAATTCACTATAAGATGGCAACTGATCGCGGGCTTTGCCTTTAAGCAGCTCCATACATTTGGAAAAGGTCGAGCTAGAAGTTCCAGCAAGGGAATCTCACTAGGACGCTTTGGAACGAATTTCAAGAATTTTGAAGTTACCAACCTTCACCTCGCCGATATTGGGCAGCTCACGTCTGTTCCACCTGAAATTTTATGCTAATATTCGAATGTTTCGCTGATATGTTTTGCATGTTCTGATAGCAATTTCGTGCTTTATAACACTGCTATAGAAATCTGTTCTCCAGAGGTGTTTGCTTTCTGTTAAGTTCAGGTTGTTATTACGGAACGCGAACTCGTTGAGAACTAGCGTTCCCCTTCTCCACGAATTTTATGCTAACATTTGAATGTTTCGCTAATGTGTCCTATATGTTCTGATAGCCAATTTTGTGCTCTATAACATTCCATGAAAATCTGTTCTCCGGAGCTGTTTACTTTCTGTTAATTTCAGGTTATCTTTACGGAACGTGAGGTCGATGGGAATTAGAGTTCCCGACTTCCTCTCTCAACCGATGTCCACTGAAGCTTCAAATCTCCTAGAACAGCTCAATAGAATCGCCATGGTTTGAGTAAGGCTTAGAGTAACAGATTAATGTTAGGACAGCTCACAGTCGATTCTGGAAAAAAACACAACCAACTTTGACCTCGCATACATCTGGTCGACCCATACCTCACGACTTTTTTTGTTCTCCTTAGTAATTATCAAACACAGTATTTACAACACTATAAAAAATATAGATATCTACAATAAACTAGTCAATGGTATATTCCCCATTGTTTCTTACAACCTTCTCCAACCGATCAGCCAGCTCTTCAATGCCTTTTCGGTAAAATCCTGTGGCCGCGACTAGAAAAAGGAATCTAACCTTAAAAACAAGATTCATCAAACGGATTTTCAAAATAACTACAACGCAGTGTTATAGAGCACAAAACTGGCTATCAGAACATATAGAACACATTAGCGAAACATTCAAATGTTAGCATAAACTTCGTGGAGAACGGGAACCCTAGTTCTCAACGACTTCGCGTTCCGTAATGATAACCTGAACTTAACAGAAAGCACACACCTCTGGAGAATAGATTTCTATAGCAGTATTATAGAGCACGAGATTTGCTATCAGAGCATGCAAAACATATCAGCGAAACATTCAAATATTAGCATAAAATTTCAGGTGGAACAGACGTGAGCTGCCCAATATCGGCGAGGTGAAGGTTGGTAACTTCAAAATTCTTGAAATTCGTTCCAAGCGTCCTAGTGAGATTCTCTTGCTGGAACTTCTAGCTAGGCCTTTTCCAAATGTATGGAGCTGCTCAAAGGCAAAGCCCGCGATCAGTTGCCATCTTAAATAGTGAATTTGGGCTTCGCATAAAGAGGACAAGGTTCAGAGTACCTCAATAGTGAAGAAAAAAGCAGAAAAAACATGCCCAATGTCCTAAGTAGGACCCCATTACAATCCCGGTTTGTACCCATGCGATGGGGAAACAGCGCTTATGGACGAGCGTTCCACGTTATTGGCTCGCTGCCAGAAGTAGATGTGGCGCCACGTATGAAAGACTGACCTTTAATATTCTTATTTTTTTAGTGAACTCATCGCATCATAATGTTTCTTTGTTGTTTTTGAGTTTGTTTTGCTTTTCAAATTCAAAATGATGCTATTGCTAAATGTCCTAGCGAGATTCCCTTGCTGGAACTTCTAGCTCGACCTTTTCCAAATGTATGGAGCAGCTTGAGCGATTTTAGCCCTTCGACTATACGTAAATAGAGGCAATTGTCGAAAGTGCTAATTTTCGCCGACTTTGCTTTCAAATTCAACGACTAAAAAATCCACAAAATTATTCCCTCAACTGAAGCCGTTTTGATATTCTAAAACTACGTGAAGTTTCCTATCAGATGAGATCAAGATGATATCAAGCTTGCTAGCAAAACATTTCATCTTTGGAACGAAATTTCCGGTTGAAAAAAAACGAAAGTACTTATGTGCCAACCCAATACTTGATCTACTTGCCCTGCTGGGCCGTAAATTCGAAAGAATTTCGAAAATTAGAGTTGAAGCTCTTATACGGAGCGAAGCAAAAGCTTTCGCGTCAACAGGATGCAAACCCGCATGCATTTGACATGGAAGCGAGACCATAACCACGAGGCCACGGTGGCACTGCCAAAGCATCGATCAGCAGCGCTTCCGAATCAGAATTCAAACTTTGACCACCCAGATCTCGTCTGGGAGGTCTCCGTAGCACTTTAATCCGCATATTCGTAAACAGCATTCGAGGCTTTATTGATGTACCTAGGTCTCCATTCAAAATTCCATGAGAAGTTCAAACCATTCCCTTGTCAGTCCAAATAGCCCTCAGTCCTCGCTCTCCCAGCAACTAAATACGACCCTTCCCTGTTGGGGAATCCCCAACAGGATATGTGCTCTGAAACTTTTAGCGGAGGGTTATTCCTGATCACGAATATCACCCGCGTATCATGCGACCGCTGTTTGGCGCTATCTTTTTTCTCTCACCGAAATCGATGAAAACTCCTACACGAGGACTACTTCGTATTTTAATTACGAATATCATGCTCGCTTCTCACGCCAGCGCCATTTGGTGCCAATAGGCGCTACCAGTTTGGCGCCATCTTCTCCGCACCAAAAATGATGAAAACTCATACGAAGGTTATTTGACGTCCTGATCGCGGATTTGGCATTCATTCTTGTCACGGGCGCCAATGTAGGGGACTATGATCACGTGCTATCCGCTAAGACTGACTTTGGCGAGGAAGAAATCACTCCTCCTCTCAGGCTCTCCCTAACAAAGCGCTAAATTGCGCTGGTGTCGGAAAATGAATGTAATTTTTGTTGTCAGGTACAGGTTGTCATCGGTTTTGCTGAGAAAGATGGTCGCGTCAAATTAACGCCAGCACCCAAAATTAATGTGATCTCTTTGATCAGTGTACCGAATGCCATCTATAGGCAGAGTTGAGGTCAGAGAATTTTCTTGAGTTTTCGGACTTATAGCGATGGAGTAGTGCCAAAAAATGGAACATCTCGAGAAGTAATCTAGTTCCCAGTTTGTCCTGTTTGATTTATCTTCTTGTGAAAGAAATCTGTGGCCGGGCGAACCTGTTCACGAACGCTTTGTGCTGGAGCAGGAGGTGCACAATCTGTAGATGACCGTTGAGGGCAGCAAGATGAAGTGCCGTTCTTCCGTTGTCGTCGAAGACGTCGATTCGGGCGTGGTGTTGCAGAAGAAGTTGCGCCACTCCGGTGTGACCTCTGGAGCACGCCTCTAGCAACGGCGACCAGCCGTTCTGTAAACTACTGTAATTATGAGTACTACAGTTAAGGATTCTGGTCAACGAAAACGATAAACACAAGAAAGCCCGCCTTGCTCTGTTTATTCTGCACAATCTGCACCGTGCCAGCTCCGATTTTGTTCACCATTGCCAACAGAACAGCTTGATTTCCTGATCGAGCGGCCATGTGCATCGCCGTCTCGTTGCTGCTCAGCGACTGCAGGTCAACCTGCATTGGTGGTGAACTGAGTTCCGAACTCGCGCAGGTTCATCTAATGCTTCTCACCTGTCCTCCATGGTCTATCAGTAAATTCATCAGTTTCGCATCTTCCCCAGGAAAATGAAGCTGCTCTGAAGTGATCTCGGCCGCATAGTGAACCGCTGTGAATCCGTCCTGAAAAATAGAAAACTGGTATGGGAATGGTTAATAATACGTTTCTGCAAAACTCATTGGGTTCCTTTCCCACTAGCCGGACTCTAAAACCACTCTAATCACTCTAGTCCGGAAGAATACAAGTTTCTTCCCGTTCTTTATATGAGTTGTTATTATTCACTACACAGTTTTCCTTTTTGCAGGTGTATCAAAATGGCATCTTCAAAATTTTTGCTCAAACTTTGCCCAAAGCCCCAATCACGAGTATGACAACCATTTTTGACACCTCACTCTTCCACTGAAATCGGAACAGGCTCGCACAATGGGGTTAGTGATTTGGCATCTTTATCGCGAATATGAACAAAATCCTATTATATACAGTCCGCTATGTCCGTGCGTATTTACATTCCTAATCCCTGAGCTAGAGTAGGCATGACATTTGAACATTTAACGGAACTGGTTACTCGTGGAATATTTCAATCTGGGACAACTGTCATCTTGTTCTGTTTTGGACAGAGATACTGCAACAGTTGTGCCAAGGTGGAATTATTCCACCAGAACCATAAACCCCTTCAGGTCAAGTTGAAGAATGCAGCTCCGCCTACCCGATCTCAGGGATCTCGTGTATGTATGTGTGCTTCTGTCTGTTTGTCACGAAATTCATAGTTCGAAATTCGAAATATTACGAAACAAATAAGAAAATTCGAAATTTCTTCTGTTTTCACCACAGATGACAATGCTGTCCCGAATGCATGTCTCAGAGGCCGTGAGAGCTTGAGTATCCTTAGTGACTGTGTGGTATCCATTGAGGACGTATATAAGACCTTGAAATCATTCAAGAGCTCAACTTCGCTCCCTTTCGACGGGATCCCACAAGTAGTATACAAAAACTGTGCACTCTCTTTATGCAAACCGCTCTGTATGATACTAAACGCATCTCTAATGTTCAGTGAGATTCCGCTGAGTTGGAAAGAGTCTATCATTACTGCTATTCCTAAGATTTCCGAGCCTAAGCTCGTTTCTTCTTTTCGTCCCATAAGTACCACTGCTACACCAGCTAAGGCCCTGGAGAAGATTTTGCGGGATAGAATTGTAGCACATCTAACGAAGCAGAATCTGATTCCACCAGAACAACATGGATTCATCAGCGGGGCTTCCACAAGCACTCTAATGGCGGACTGTGTCTTTGATTGGACTCTTGCTATTAATGAGGGCAAAGGTGTGGATATAATCTATTTTGATTTGTCCAAAGCTTTTGATAAAGTGAACCACGAAAAGCTCGTTCATAAGTTGTGGCTTTTGGAAGCCCCGCTGAGAATCGAAGGACCCATACTCAGCTGGATTCGTTCTTATTTGGAAGACAGGCATATGATTGTTAAGGTGGGTGATAGTTTCTCGCGGACTTTTTCCTGTACTAGTGGAGTTCCGCAGGGAGGTGTGCTGTCACCGTTGCTTTTCTTAGCGTACACCTACGACCTACCGGTTATCTTGATACTCACCCTCTGGTGAAGATCAAAATATATGCAGATGACATAAAAAATATATGGCGTTTATGATAACGATAGTCATAACTCCGTGCACCGTGCGTTGACCCAGTCTATATGTAACATTATGGAGTGGGCTGCTGCGTGGGAATACCTGTGAATTTCTCAAAAACATTTGTTCTTCATATGGGGAGAGCCAGGATTGTTCCGTACACCGTAAACGACATGTCAATTACCCTTTCAAATGAAGTACGTGACCTTGGTTTTCATGTGAGTTCCAGTTTGGAGTTTACGCATCACATTGATATCATTGTTCGGAAGGCTTTCATGACCCTTTTTGCCATTCTTCAGGAATGTCCGACAAAGTGATTCTTCGATTTTCTTTGAAGTTATACAAAGCTTATGTTGTCCCCATACTTGAATATGGTTCGCAAATATGGAGTCCTCACACCAGGAAACTTCAAAGCGAAAATCGAAAAGGTCCAGCAAACTTTTTACCAGAGTTTTGATGTACCGGTGTTATCCCAACCCTGCATACCCAGGCAGCTTACCCAGTTACAGGGAACGCCTGCAACTTTTCAATCTAAAGTCACTGAAGTATAGAAGAGTGTTTAATGATATTGTGTTCTGTTTTAAGGGTATTGAAAGGAGAGCTAAGGTTGAAACCCAGTAAGTACTGGATACTGAGGCCGACCAATGGCCGCATCTCTTCGCTGTCCTCGCAATGTTCCTAAACTACACAGAAGGCATCGAACCAGGGTTTTCAATTCATTATTTTTCCGAGGAGCGAGATGGCCCCAGTCCCAGCCATCAGACCTGCAGAGGGCGCCTAGCACCTATGCGTTTAGAAGTAAGCTAAAAAAGGTCGATCTGATGAATTGTTTAGGATTGCAGGATTTTTAGATGGTTCTAGTCTGGAGTGGTTCTTACTCATGTGAATTTGTGTTGCTATATTGTATCTTTTTTCGTTTTGTTCATTTTTCCTCTGACATGACAATTGACTGTTGCATTTTGTAACCTATCTGTTTTTATTGACATGTAGCGCACCCATGCGTTGCATTAATAAATAAATAAATGGCGGGAACACTCAGAATAAATGCTATACTAGTCAGGATGCACATACCCTAATTATGCGAGTTTATATCAACTTCGTTGAAGAGGCTGATGGCTCTAAGGAGGCGAAAATCGGGGCCGGCGCTGAAAAAGATTGCCATATTGGGAACAGGGACAGCATGGAGATGTGCGAAATGACGGTATGAGTACGACCCCCCTCCCCCCCTCTATCAAAGAGGGTCCAGTTACGACGCCCCCCTGCCTGCTCTAACTGATAACCAGAATGCATGTTCACACAGAATGGCTTCCCGAAATGGAACCTGGACTTTCGAAAGGCGGACTCTGCTCCAGTTTTGTTTTAGGAATCAAAATAAAACTCGTAGTTCGACAACCATATATGACATGCAACTTGTAACAAGGAACACAATCAAAACAGCGACTAATGCTGATCACTGACAAGCTAATTGGTGAAAAAAATAGCCCTAAAGCCAGTGTGTTAGGCCCTAGATGTGCATTCAATGAATGGTGACGGGAAATCATGAAAACATGCACGACACAACAAAGTGAAACGTGAAAAAACACAAAGAAATGTGGAACCAAATGAAAGAAATGGAGAGCCAGGCGGCAGCATATCGTTCTATACTCGGTTACTATCGATCGCAATGTTGCTTTCATTGGAAAAACGTCAATGGAGCGCGGTTGTTGGACCTGCTAACGTCCTGGGGTCTTTCGGGGGTTATATCTCTTTTAGGTGCGCGGCTTTTGAGGAATGGTAGCAGCATGCAAAGTCAGTGTTCTTAGTGTTGCGTTTTCTACCTAATTGCAACCTGAATAATTCTCCGTCGGATGGGTTTCGGATCGGCTAGGGGTATATCGCAAGCGGATTTTTATTTACACGAGGATCACTTCTTTCAAACGCATTTTCATCAGAACCAGAACCGTCTTCAGAGTGCCTTATCTTTTCTCTTTCCAAGAAGCTTTACAGTTTTCCTGGCCGCTAGATTAGGAGATATTTTAGGTGGGTTACCAAAAAGCTACCCTCTGAGCTACTCAAAAGGTCGACTCCCTGTGCCATTTTCAGGATACACTCCGGAAACTTCAGTGTGCCTTTGAAAGCCATATTCCCCTTCAAATTAGTGAAAGAGGAGCTTAGCTGTCACTGGTCGATTTAGTCCGAGTGTGCGCCAGGCATTACGCTCCTACGCAGAGGTGGTGGAAAGGTGCAAATTCTGATTTCACCTGCTTTTGTCCATGCAAATAGTTGTTTAGAGTTTGGAGAGGACAATACGCACAAATCTGTTTGAGACGTATTATTTAGTCATCTACGTACTTACTAGTTCATGCAATTAATTGATATTCATTTATTTCTTTATTCTTGCTATTCTTGCCATATTGCTAATCATTTTTAATATTTTGTAGTCCTCCTTACATCCTGGTCTTCTACAGCCTTCGATGCGTCCCATCAAATCCGTCATCTTAGCAATGACTTTTTTGTACTGTTTGATGCTTATCGAGCTCACTTTTGAGATACTCCCCATGTCCCGCCGCCAACACTATCCCCTTTCTGGGGATCTCGCATGAAGAGAGGGCTGTTGCTTGACATTACGACCCCCCCCCCCTTCCCCAGCGGCCAAATACGACCTCCCCCTTATGGGTTTCGCACAACGATGCTGTACACTAATTGGGAATCAGAGCACTGAATAACCCCTATAGGTTACTTAGGTTACATAGGTTACTTAGGCGATGAGTTCTTCAGCACGGCGGTTGACCTTGCGCGGGTCCCAACTTCTTTTCCATTGATCTCTGTTTTGAGCCTTGCCTGTCCAGTGCGTATAGAGCTTAAGAGAAATTTGATCATAAACACTGTTGCGATAGGCCAGAGAACCGGCCCAGCGCAGAGGAGGGCGGCCCGACGGTCGGTTCTTGTCACGCGGGTACCATCGTATGGTCGCGGAGCTCCATCTCCCGTCATTTCTCCTCATCACATGACCGGCAAATCGATGCTTTGCTTCGTCAACATGGAGTACAATGTCTTTGATCTTCGATATGGCTCTGACGTCTGAGTTGTGAAGTTTTAATTCTCGCTACGGCTTAACGTCAGGCTTGCTAAGCGGCGCTCAATCTTTGCTTGGATAACTTTCAACCGTCTTTCGTGCGCTTTCGTTAGGGCCCAAGTTTCTCCTGCGTAGCTGGGAGCGGGCAGCACTGTTGTATTGAAGAGGTCTGCATGGAGTTTGCGACTTTTTCTATCTTCCACGACGCTCTTTATACAGTTAAATGCTGCCCATCCAGCTTTGCAGCGCCTCGGTAGCTCTCCAGTTAAATTATTCCTCATGTTCAGCTGGCTGCCGAGGTATACGTATTCCTCAACGTCCTCTATTAGGTTCCCTTTCAGCATTACGGTTGCACCTCCAGCGAATAGATTTCGCATGACTTTCGTTTTTGAGGTGTTCATCGTTAAACCGTACGGATTTCCTTGCTGGTCCAGACGATTTAGCATCTCCGAGGCTTCCTCTGGCGAGCTGGTAATCAGAACAACGTCATCAGCGAACCGCAGATGACTCAGAAGAGTACCGTCGATGTTCCATCCAAACTTGCTCCGATCGCAGCGGCGTATAACGGATTCTAAACATGCGGAGAACAGGTTGGGTGAGATCGGATCACCTTGCCGCACGCCTTTCTCAATTGGTACCACTACGTTGCTGAAGAATGGCGGAACGTGGTCGTACAACCGGTATAGCATTCTCAGAGCACGTCTATGTAGATCTTCTCAATTCCTTGCTCTTCTAATGCTTCCCAGACTTCCATTGGTTCCACTGAGTCAAGCGCTTTCTTGTAGTCGACGAACGTGAGTAAAAGAGGCATGCGGTGCTCTCGGGGTGTGGGTCGATTCAATCGTCGACAATAAGTAGGTCGCCACGCCGGTGGGCGGAGCGAAGCGGCGTGGCGGCCGCCGTGTACGAGTTTTGTTGTAGCGGCTCCTTCGAATTGTTAAAGGGCTCGTCATCTCATTTTGATGATGTTTGTTGTTTTTTGGTAGGGGCATTACCGATATTTACCTCGTTCTTGAGAGCTGGGCATACTTCAGCGATATTAAATTATCTCCTGCTCCTCGACTGCCCTTCGTTTGTTAGTGAAATACTCGTTGCCGCTCAAATGGTATCTCATTGCTGTATCGCTGTAGATTCATGTGCTTTTCTTGTGCGAGTTCAGAGCTTTCTGTGTCAGATTTCTGAAGAAGCTATAAAAATGTCTAATGCTTGTGAAGGATCGGAACGCCAGCCGAAGATCCATCATCCATTTTATTAGATCAACCTTGTGCTAAATCCACGTCAGGTAAGTACATCAGTTCTTTTTGAACTAAAACTAATGGGTTATTAGGATGCTATTCCTTTTGTTTATTGTCGTACTAAATTGATTTTTGCGATCATATACATTTTTAATTTATTTTAGCTCAGCATATTTTAGCTAATATTTCACATCGGATTGAAAAGCTTTCCGCCCGAGAAATAGAGGTCTCGTCGCCCCTCTTGCTGGAGCTGAGCAAATCACAAAAAGTGGCAAGTTCTTGTATCTCATTTAAATGCTTTGCTTTCTTAGATATACAAGAACCCTATAATTGTTGCAGGTCACGATATTTATCGCTATTCTATCAAGGTGGTTCCGACGAGAATACATGGGATCTTTGGTATATATACAATAACTTATCAATATTCAGTCACTTTTTTGGTAAGTTCATATGAATACAAAAAAAAATCGCGTTTTTGCTTGTCCCTTTAGAGTACCGGTTTGTTTAGAAAAAGCATTGGCAGAAGACGAACATAGCCGTGGAGGTATTCTATTCGAATACGAGTTTTGTGCGATGTAATCGAAGTTAGAGAAGTTAAAAAGTGAGTCTTTTCTCCTCGACTTAGCATAATCAGTACGCAGTAGTGCAAGAACCCACAGTAGGTAGGTGAACTGTCCCCTGCTAGGCACTTCATACTTTGTCGCAATGGAGACTATGAGTGAAGCATGCCAGGGCACTAGATGGGAATAGATTTATTCTTCTATCCTCTCAATTCGCCAGATCGATACTTTCTTTCTGACGTACACTCTTCTACTCTCCTAACCCTTTTGATCGATATCTAAGCTTCCCTCGGAGGCAGATTATTCTGTTTTCCTTCTGTCGCCTATTCTCCTATTCTCCTGTCTCGCCAGATCAATTCTTATGTACTTCTCCCCACATTTTTACCTCTAACTATTGGTGCATGTCTCATGTCTCATCAGTCTCCTACTCTCCTGCTCACCTGTGTCGCAAAGCAAGAACGCGTTCCTACGACTTCAACCTGCTAGAGCATCTAAAAGGAAGAAGATTTGATAAAGTGATGGACTTCCCTAGTGGAGAGCGTTCTGTGGTGGGTGAGCTCATTGTTGTGGATTCTCCGAGTGTTACAGTGGATTTATGTCGTATGGCGCGATCGCAGTGCAGCTGATTTATCATGGTATGCCATTCGACGCCTTTTCCATCTTAGACTACCCCCAGATCACTGGTTCACTGACTTTATTGACCGATCGTTGTAGGGGCTGGTACTGGTTGGAAACCACAAGTAAAGAAGTCAGCATTTACGCTTTATATTGGCTGTTAACTATAGAAATTCAACTGTCCAGTGTTCCGGACGAGCAATCCAACTTAGACGCGCAGATCAAGACCGGTCATTGACAGCAGGAGATTGTAACGTGAGACCGCTCCTTCAACCCGGTCATAGGGGATATTGAACGGATATGTAGACGAGTGGGCATAGACAAGAAAGGGAGCTAAACACCAAAACGTTCCCCCCTGTTCCTCTATTACGAGCCCTTCCCCATGATGTCTTTTAATTTTCTCAACTACTCGCAGCCACTTTCTGGCTTTCTTTCGTGAAATCCGTTGCTTCTGACAGTGTTTATAAAATAAGATGCTGTTCGCTTGAAAGATCGGAGGCGACCTAGTCCTCAGTAGTTTCATTAGTCTGCATGTGCAGATGTATTTGAATGCTTGACGCACTCTCATGTATCAGTGTAACGTTTGCTCGTTTTAGGGTGAATGGAGCGAAAAGCTATGTTAAAGCCCTAGGTGAATCCGCACATGAAGAGGGCATGTTGGAATACCTGAAGGATTTCATTTGTTCTAGTTGGGGTGAGATCATGCTGTTCCTTTATCATTTTTTTTAATTGTGCAAACAACACAAAATCCCCCAAGGTAAGTCGTAGTAGCGGTGAAATTTGAGCAGCGGCTCACGAAATGCAGCGCACCGGTTTGCTTTCCCATGTTTTCTATGTTAGGCCTCCCATGCTGCAAAACATTACATTTTGGAGAATTTATCCACCACAATTATAGTGTTTTTGTTTTGAAACTGTTTCAACCGTAATACGCTCGGAAAGCTACCACGGTAATGCTGATTTACGGACGAAAGTCTTGAGCCTAGGCGGGACTCGTACTCGCTTTCCGTGCGAGTGCACTAATTATACATAAGCATATGACATACCGACGTTTTTTCTTTATTCATTGCTCATTCATCCACCACTTGTATTCTGGGATGTGCCTAAGTGGGTTGAAAACTGTCTCCGAGCCCTTGCTTAGTTTTTTTGCGTTGACGAATGACAGACAACGCAATGGATTTCAATACGGACTCAAATTGCCACCGACACCGTAGCATTCCTACACTTACGGGACGGCGTAGAATTCATGAAGATGACATCGCTTCAGCTTAAACTCTTTTGTCACACTCGTTTATTGTGGAATTCTTATGAATGTATTCGTATAACTGCAAACTGCCGTGCCAATAAAATGGATTCCTTTCGAAGTTTCACAGAATGTTGCAACAGGTTGTAGATTGTTACAAATTGCGGGACAAAGCGGACGAAACAGTATCATCACGGAATCTTGTAATTTTAATCGATTTCCGTGCCCTCATTATCAGATCCATACATTCCGGTGGCAAAAAGTCCTTTTCGCTGGGAATCGTGACCTTGTCCATATATCGCCGGCAGGTATAGCAGAACAGAGGCGAACTGTTTGCCTTAGGGACTGAAGTATCCTCACGGCACCTAAAATGCCATTATGACAGTGCTGAACATTAACAGCGCTAGATTAAGTAGATATTGATTACAAGCAGCTTATGATAGGGCACTGATTGGGGGCAGTTCTGGATTGTGGCAGTTCAAGATGAGTTTATGTTAAACAATCACGTGGAAATCTTCTGGAATCTGGGATCTAAGTAGATATTGATTACAAGCAGTTATGATAGGGCACTGGATTGGGGCAGTTCTGGATTGTGGCAGTTCAAGATGAGGTTTATGTTAAACATCACGTGGAAATATCTTTCTGGAATCTGCGAAGGCAGAAATTTGCTAGCCTTTATGCGTCGCCTATAGAATAACCCTTATAAGCGACGCATAAAGGCAGATTTCGCGACGAGCCAGCGAAAGGTTCGTAGGTAGTGAGATTGGAAACAGGAATGTATGTGCAATTAACTTGCTCGTGAAGAAAAAGGGAGAAGAAACCATTGAAGACCCTCCGAATAGGTCTCCTCCTTGTGCCAAACGAGAGGTAAAGAATCGGCGCGAATGTCGGGTGATAGGCAAGACGAAGGAGCAAGGTATACAAACGAGCTATACAGCAGATAGGACAACTCTCAACGAGGGCGGAGTCACTTAAAGGCAGTTGGCACGATGAATCTCTAAAGACGAGTAGGATTGATACGCCTGGTAGGGTGGAATGCCGCGACCCTGAGTAGGCGCTGCAAAGCGCTTTTTTCAAGGAAGGTGCCCTTATAAGGGCCTTGTCAAGATACAATACACCGACCCGAATGCCTACCTCGTCCGCCCGCCTACAAATGGACGACCTTACCAGATTCTGCTTCATTTACTAGTAAAATATGAAGCGAAGGGGGTATGAAGCGGCTCCTGAATAGATATAAGAGTAAATAGATGCAGCTGCACCCGCCGTAGCGGTCATTTGCAATATGTCTGGGGGAAACCCGCATGAAATCGCTCTTAAGAACGAAGGTTTTCTTCGCAGGATTTTGACCGTTCCTCGTTTTTTCGCCTTTTGCCCACTAGATAAGGCCCGGCTAGCATTTTAGGCTGAGTACCACATTGTCGTGCCAGCTGCCTTTGAACAAGCTTGTGCCTTGCCGCCGCTACCTTGCTATTATACTTTCTGGTGTGAAACTTATACAACGTTGTTGTAGTCGCTCCCTCTCCCTCCAACGAGCTCGGATAACCATAAGTGGTTGTGGGCTCTGCTTTTGAGCAGAGAAAGATTTTGAGATTTTAGCAGTAAAATAGTTGAAATTCCTTTGCTGCAGCATGAGGTAGCAAAAAGTGAGCTGTGCAAGAGCATGCACCAAGAAGGGAACCTTGAATCAATGTTATTTGGTAATGTGCGGTAGATTCTCCTTGCGACGATGCACAACGTTCCTCAGCTAGTTGACTAGACAAATGTAACACTTCCACGCAATAAGAGGCGGATGTGGGATACTGGCAAGTGGTCCGCTTACCGTGCGCGTGGACTGGAGGTCCGAATCAGCTCCCGTCCGGACCGAACAACACTTCTATTCTACATGGACGATTGGTACCAGTTTGTCTGGGGGAAGCGACGCACTCACTTGTACATTGACTGGCCCCCGCAGATGATCGTTCAGGCCACATTGCATTTATCTCCATTCTAGAAAGGGACTGATCAGCGGAGATGACTTTATTCCTTATCCACGCTAAATGAATTCCTGGTGAGAATGCTGCCCAAGTAACACCTCCTTCAAGGCCCTTTCCACCCTTTCCTCAAAGTGGCAAAGTGGTTCTCCAGCATTACATCCGGAGTTTCCGAGTTGTTCCCGAAATGCTGTGGAGACATGATCCACTAAGTAAGTGATTCTACGGTTTTGTGAGTGCGCAAAAATTGCATCTCTATGAACAACAGCTTTGCCTTCTTCGACAAAGTCATTTCATGACTTATTACCAAAAAGGGGAGGGGGGGAGGGAATCACCCCAATTACATGCTCGACATTGTTCGAGAAGCTGCTGCAACCTCCCAGCCTCCCTTTCATTCATCAAATTTAGTTAGAAACAAGAGAGAATCGATTCGAAGTGGTTAAAGTATTGAAGTCACAAGTGGTAACTCACGTTGGTCCGTTTGTTGATGTATTTGCGAATTTCTTCAGGACTAAGAGTTTGGGCCATATGATTGACGATCATCTGTGCAGCCTCGTAATTGCAAGACTTGGCGGCCACATGCAGCGGCGTCTCACCGTTATTCGACATCAACTGCAGGTTTGCGTTCTCGTTCAGTAAGAGCCTGTATATAATGCTTTTTTCAGTGATCAAAGATCGGAGCTCTGAAAATCTAACAATAATATTCGGGTCGAAAATCTGGGCTCTTACGAAAATCCCTTCCTGCAAATCCTTCAGAAGTTATGAAAAGTATGAGTAAATACAAAAAAAGTGCTCTGCTAGACTATTCCTAACCCAAAAACTCAAGAATTCTCTGAAACACTGCCTATGGATGTTATACGATGTCCTGATCATAACCATGACATTCATTTTTGGCGATGGCGTCATTTGGCGCCAGTGGGCGGTCATTGGTGCCACAACGTTTTTTCCCAAAATCGATAAAAACTTGCGCAGTAGGGTTGTTTGATGCCCTGGGTACGAAAATGGCATTTATTTCTCGACACCAGCGCTATTTAGCCTTCTGCTAAGGCCGAACGTGGAAGAAGCAGTGATTCCCTCCAGGTCAGGTTCAGTCACAGCGGAGCACAGATGATCATAGCGCCCTACGTCAGCACTGGCGCCAGGAATAAATGTCACATTCCTAATCATGATGGCAAATGACCCCCACAAGTAAGTTTTCATTGACTTCGACGCCAGGTGGTTTTGGCCCACGCAAATGTGATTTTTATTTTTAATAAGTCAGTCTACCCCTACGGACTAGTTTTCAGCAAACTTGGTGACATATAGTATTTTGGCGCCAGCACCTGTGGCCGGGCGTCAGGCAGTTTCGGGCTAAGCGAAGGTGATATTCGTGTTCAGGAGGTCGAATCACCGCATTGAGCACATTTTCAGCCAAATCTGTCCTCGCAAAAAAGAGCCGCTGAAAAACAGGCCTGATTTCGCATGACTGCGTTGGAATAATTTGATAGTGCCCAAAGCGATACCAAGACTGTTTTTGACGCTCATTTGCAAGAATGAGCGAAAGTTCTTGCCTCATTATTTCCTTATTGCCGTTGCGAGCTGCCAAATGCAAGCAAGTTTCACCGTCCTCCTGAGCGACATCAGGCTGTCCACCGGACTTCAGAAGCATCATCGCACACTCGCGAGACTCTGGTCCACTTAGCGATGCAGCTAGAAAGGTAACCTCAATTCACTTAAGTTACAGGGAACTCTGAAATGTCTCTAGGGTTTGATTGGATAAAATGCTTGCCTATATGAAGGGCCGTCTGTCCTAGTTCTCCTCCTCTGACGTGAATATCAGCTCCAGATCCCAACAACGTCTCCACCACCGATGCCTTTCCCGACTGCACAGCAACATGTAGAGCTGTGTAGTTGTCCTGCAATAGAGTAAATCTCGTAGAAATCACTTGAGCGACGAAAAGATGCGGGCAGTTTGTCCACTACCAATGATTCCCGGTTATTTTTTTGCCTAGGTTTTGATTTTCAAAGCTTGGAACCTAGTAACACACTCTCGCAGTAGTGTCACAAACGCACCAGTCATGGTGCAGCATTGGGATGGGAGAAACTGTGGTATCAGACAGAAAATTCCTTTGGCCGTTGAAGAAAACTGAAAGGGACATGAGTCTTTTTCGGCCTTCGAAGTATGCGAAAAGAGGCATGACCCCTTTGTTCCATTCCTACCTACCATTTTCCTGAATTTTCTCAAATAGCACCGTTTTTCCTACTTTTCATCATTTTCTCCATTTTTCCTCCCTCAAAAAAGGAGCTGTCATCGAACGGAGCAATATATTATAAGAGGTGTGTAACACACGTGAAGTGGAAAAAGCGGGAAAATTCAACAAATAACAAAATTCTTCTCGCGGCTGGGGAAAATTCCTGTCAATCAAGACCCGATACGACCCACTCCTTTCCGACCGATTATCCCTGTGGGATGGTTCAACCATAGGCTGGCGCAACTCTGCTGCGATAGAAGGCTGGACAGGGCAGGTTTTCCGAGGTACGGGATCCTACAAACTTTTTCAGTGCACGGCACTGGGCTAGCTTATCTGAACGTTCCCCACTCTTCCCCCCCCCCCACAAATCCTATCTGCAGCCTCAACGTGGCATGGGCGTGAACGGTTTGGACTGTTCCAACATCGTAATAATGCGGATGGTGCCACGTCAGAGCCTGGCGAGCTACGCGTGGTTAGGTTTCTTCTCGCCGAAATCAGTAATAATTATGGGCCTCATCCCCCTGAACCTAAGGGAACTACCGACAGGGCGACTTCGGCTGGGACCGCTCGGGCGAGGCTGCAAGAATCGCAGGGCCAACGGAGATTCAAGTCGCCCAGGACTAGGATGACGATCTGTACTTTCAACGCACGGACGCATCGGAAGCTCGCAATGAAGATCTGATGTTGCAAGCCAGGAAGATCAAGTACGACGTCATCGGACTGACCGAGACGAGAAGGCATCGCCCGCTTCACGCCGTATACGAGACTGGAGAAAACTGTTCCTCGGCATGCTACAGCAGAGGCATTGCCGGTGTGGGCGTCCTCGTGAACACGCACTTGGCCATGAACATCGATTCGTACGAAAATCTGACGACCCGAATCGGACGTTTGCGATTGAGAAGATGTGGTTCAACTTTGACAATCTTCGTCGCCTACGCACCAACATCAAGCTACGACGAGGATGAGCTGGAAGCGTTCTATATGGAATTGGAGAAGTTCTACAAGGAGATCATACCTTCTTCAAGGTCACCGTCGGTGATTTCAACGCTAAGAGTGGACCAAGAAGAACGGCTGAAGAACTTAACATCGGAACTCACGGAACGGAATGGAATGAGCAGGGTGAAAGGCTGTCTGAGTTCATCATGTCGACCCATACCATCCATTTTAACGTTCTAGAAGCCCTACTCTCTACACTGGACATGGGAGTCTCCTGGTGGACACAACTCCATAACTAGATCGACCACGTCATCTTCATCGATGGTTCTGCCTGACCGATGTCGCTGTTGTTGCTAAGTTCTGCACAGGATCCGACCACCGTCTCCTTCGCGCGAGATTCCGCTTTTCGATGCGAGGAGAGAGAGCCGCAAAGTTCAAGAAGCGAGGCCCCAAGACCTTCATCAACTGGGATCACTTCACTTCTCTCCTGGGCTCTGGGCGGATTCCATCATCGACAACATTGACGAGGAATACGAACGGCTTGTCGCACATCTTCACGACTGCCCCAAGAAGTCAGAGAGTTCCAAGATTACCAAGAAGCGTCTATCTCTGGAAACTCTCGAGCTGATTCGCCAACGTGGAGTCGCACGAGCCGTAGGCAATTACCAGCTGACATCCGAGCTAGAGAAGCTATGCAGAGAAGCGATAAAGGAAGACCTCAAGGAGGGAAGAGCAGCAGTATTGTTGGAAGCCGCAGAAGCTGGGAAGAGCATACGCAACGCCCGCCGTGACTTCGCCAACTGTAAGACCAAGATGACCGCCCTCCGACGTCCGGATGGAACTATCACCGCATCTAGAAGGGCAATGGAGAAGGTCATCCACGACTTCTACTCGGATCTCTTTGATATCCGCGTGCACCTGCTACCATACCGTCTGGAGCAGGATGGACCGGTCAGTTCTCTCTTCCGAAGTCCGACGCGCCTTCTCGGTAAAGAATCGTACGGCACCTGCTCCCGACAGGATCAAACCTGAACATCTGAAGAATCTTCCGTCATTCTTGTCAAAACTCTGGCTCGACTCACGCGTACCTGTCGAATGCAAGGTACCCACGTTAAGGAAAACCAGCAAGACTGTGTTGCTGTACAAGAAGGGAGACCTACACGACATTGGCAATAATCGCCCAATCTGCCTGCTGTCTGTAGTCCACAAACTCTTCACACGAGTCATCCTGAACAGGATTGGGAGAGCACTAGACGAAGGGCAGCCATGCGAGCAAGCAGGGTTTCGAAGAGGATTCAGCACCATCGATCAATCCACAGTAACGAAGCTCATCGAAATATCGCAAGAATACAAGATGCTGCTATGTCTCAAGTTCATCGACTTGAAGAGAGCCTCCGACTCCGTTGAGACAGAAGCGGTTATCGAAGCCCTGGGCAACCAGGGACCTACTCAGTACATCAGGATTCTTCGTGAGCTCTATAGCAACTTCGCGACCAAGTTCTCACCGTTCTCAGAAGATCATCATCGACGTGAAGAGAGGGGTCCGACAGGGCGACACCATCTCGCCGAAGCTATTCACGCCTCTCTCGAGAACGTCATACGTCAACTGGAATGGGAAGACATGGGAGTGAAGATCGACGGTCGGCAACTACACCATCTCCGCTTTGCTGATCGAACAAGCGGGATAATGCTGGCTGAATCCGACTGCGCGTGTGGAAAAATCGGTCTACTGCTGAATCTAACGAAGACGATGTTCATGAGAAACGGATTGGTTTCTGATGCCCCATTCACGCTCAAAGGAACGACCATCTCTGAATGCTCTAGCTATGTGTACCTAGGTCGTGAAATCAATATGATGAATGACTTAGCTCCAGAGCTGAGCAGGAGAAAGCGAGCGGCTTGGTGAGCCTTCAAGAACATCGAGGGAGTAGCGAAGAAGACGAAGAACACCAAGCTCCATGCCCACCTCTTCGATTCCGCGGTCCTTCCTGCCTTGACGTACGCCTCAGAGACGTGGACTCTACGAAAGCAGGATGAGCATGCGGTCGGCGTTATTCAGCGCGCCATCGAAAGGGCGATGCTCGGAGTTACCCGCTACACGCAAGTGAGAGAATGAATCCGGAGCTCCGCACTCCCCCGACGATCGAAGATCAGAGACGAAACCGCTTCTGCCAAGTTTTCGAAGATCAGGTGGGCCGGGCACGTCATGCGTTTCGAGGGCAACCGTTGAACCAGAGCGATCACCGACTGGATTCCACGGGATGTCAAGCGAACGCCTGGACGACCGCCTATGCGATGGTCAGACTTCCTCGTGAAAGCTCTGAACGAATGGTATGAAGCTCATCGTGTCTCTCGAGCAGAGAGAGTCCATTGGGCAGCTCTTGCACGTTGCAGGGACGAATGGAGACGTTACTGGCGCCCGCTCGAGGAACTCGATGATCAACGAGAGCACAGGTGATACATGTGATCTGAAAGTTAGATGGCGTTCAGTGGGAAAGTGCTCACAACCGATTGTGAACCTGGCGAGCGTGATTTTTGGTAAGACGTATTGATGGAGGAACTTGCTCTGAGATGGGTCAACGAATTTCTCGGCATTAAATGAGGCTTTCATACTTCGTGAGAAGCGATTCACCTCCCTGGAATCACACGCGTTTGCTCGTACCGGTCCCCTCTCTACTTTTTCTTGCTTATCGTCTTGTTCGCTGCGGAAGAGGAGGGGTGTCATTGGTGCTAAGTTTGGCGCGGCCACCCCCTTTTGTACGAGTTGCCCAACTGGGTAAGCAACAACAAGGTGAAAAACTATCCATACAAACGATATGATGCAATCGTGTCGTATGTCGAAAGAAAAAAAGAGCTGGCAAGCCTATACCCATCCCCCTTGACACGCCCTACCAGCAGCGAACAAGGACGTGTGTTACTAACGGATATCGTGGTTCCACAAGAAACAATGTCATATCATTTCGCGCGCCACTAGCCCGTTTCTCTAAGAGAACCATTTCATGCAGAACTCGAGTGCTGAGTGCAGAACTTTACGAGGTGTCCGGAATGTTGACAGGAGACTACAAAATGCCCCCTTTCTAAGGCCGAGCGCCTTGAAACCCTTGATTGCGAAGCGGAAAAGCTTACTTTTGTTCGAATGTCGACATTCGTGCCTCGAGCTATGAGCATTTTGACCACTTCGTTGAAACCAGCAGCAGCCGCCGAGTGCAGACCCAAGGCTCCTTTCTTGTTCGGCATGAACAAGGGTACACCTGCAAGTACTGCCCATGGTAATGCAGTCAAACATCCAAATAAAAGATCGGCAAAAATGGGCTCAAGGGAGGGTCAGAAGGTGCTCAACAGAAATTACGTTGAAATGAAAATGTGGAGCCATTGGTCGTGAAAGGGATTTAATGGGGAGGCAATGGAGGGGAGGTAAAATTCAATCGACAACGAAATGGGGGAGAGGGAGAGAAGAAAGAGCCCAGAAACCTCAGATCTTCTTAAGTTCTACATAAAGCCCCGTATACAGTATCACCATTATACACCTCTTCTTCTTCTTCAGTGTTTGTCCTGCTCTGTAGCAGGGTCCGCTCGTGTTATTTTGTCACGCCACTTCTCCCGGCTGAATGCTTGATCGGAATGGGTGCCGACTATCTTTAAGTTCGCATGCAACATGTCTGACCAGCACTGCTTGGGGCGTCCTTTAGGCCGCTTTCCGGGAACCTCGAGCTCAAGACCAATCCTACGGACGGTTTGACAATTTGCGCGAAGAACATGACTATACCATCAAAGGCGAGCTTCGCGCATTTTCTCGGCTACAGAAGCTACATCGTATCTCTTCATTATGTCGTCATTGCGTATGCGATCCATACGCGAGACACCGGCGGTCCATCGCAGCATTTTCATCATCCATGACTCCGAGGCGCGCTTCAAATTCTTTGGTCGTAGGCCAGCATTTATCGCGACTGGTTGAACGACGGTCCTATAGACGGTTTTTCGATTTGAGGCGATCTGGTATCGTCTTGTCGCAGAGAACGCCAGTCATAAACCGCCACTTAGACCAGGCTGCAGATCCGAGGTGTTTGAACGTTGTCGTTCGCGTTAGCACACTGCCGCTGACCCTAAGAGAACCAGACTCGTCCGAATCAATCGTCAGGTACCCGGTTTTCTTGACGTTCAATTCAATTTGAGCCCGAACTTCGCTAACCGTTCAATCCAAGCTTGCACTTGTTCCTCAAGACCATTCTTATCCACATCGTCAGCGTAGAGAAGCGTCCAAGGAGCCGGCTTCTGGAGGTCCCGTAAAATGACATTCATGACGACAACGAAGAGCAGCGGGGAAAGCGCTGAGCTTTGGTGCACCCCAGCTGTGATGGGGAACCCCATCGAAATGCCTGCTGGACTTCGCACTCGACTCGTTGTCTGAGAAACAGTATGCGTGCCCATTCAATCAGCTCTTCGGGGACGCCGTGCTACCGTAAGGCGTACCATATAACTTCACGTGGGACACGGTCGAATGCCTTCTCCAGATCAAGGAAGGCTGGACATGTTTCTTCTTTTCACGACGTTTCTCTAGCAAGAGGCGAGCGGCATGTATGGCGTCGATGGTGTCACAGCCACTCACGAAGCCACAGTGGTCGGTAGAGAGCTGAAGACGCTTATCAACGATTCGCTCAAAAATTCTCATGCAGTGCGAGAGCAGGCGAATTGGACGATAATTCGAGCAGTCTGCAGGACTCCTTTTTTCTTCCAGATTGGTACCGTCGTGCTCTCTCGCCATACTTCGGGCATTTGAAAAAGATGACGCAGTGTGACTTCCATACTTCTGCCGCCACGTCGTTAGGGCCCCCTGCCTTGCCTTATGCCTATCTTCACCTTCTCGAGAGCCGACTCCGTTTCCTTCACGCTTATCTTGTGAACGGGACCGTATGTTGGTAAGGCGCAGCGTATGGCCGGGTGTTCATATTCCGCTGTGGAGATTTCTCCAACGTAGTTGCGCCATCGCCTCAGCACGTTTGTTCGGTCCGTCGGAAGGCGGCCCTTCTCGTCGTTGATGCCAAAGAACTTCTCCACATTTTTGATCTGGTGGTCACGAGCCTTGGCAAGTCGATAGATGTGCAGTTCACCATCGCGCGTTCCAGCTTCTTGCTGATATCTTCGGAGTGAGCGGCTTTTGTAGCAGCCACAGCCTTCTTTGCCGTACTTCTCGCTTCCTGATACTACCGCCAGCTGACTTTTCTTTGAGGAACAAGTGATAGCGCTTTTCCTTCTCGCGGGCCTTTAGCCTGACGTCATCTGTCCACAACCATGCCTGCTTTTTGATTCTACGCCTTCCAGGTTTCGTTGTGCCAAGTTCAGAGCGAGCGGCCCGAACTATCGCTTTTGCGGCATTTTTCCACGTTTCATCGACAGTTGTGAAGGTTGGTAATCGGATGCGAGAGACCACACCTGCCTTCTGCCTTCTTTTCTTTTTTTGACTCTCTCAGGACCACATCGTTCTATCTGATTTGACCTGGGCGGTCTTATCTTCAACGTACGGATAAGCGGGCGATGTTGCGAGGCTACTGTCTCATACGGCACGGTCTTCACGTCTGTGGCAAGTCCTTGATAGCGATGCCTGACAAGAACAAAGTCTGTGTGTGTTTTGGCACTCCCGCTGTAGAAGGTAAATAGGTGGGAGCCGGTTTACGGAACTTTGTGTTCACGATGGCGGGATTATGGGCTTTTGCATGTTCCAGGATGCGTTCGCCATCCACGTTACGTGTTCCATAACCGAATCCACAATGACAGTTGCAACCGTCTTTTGTTGCGCCTACGTGCCCGCTAAGGTCACCAGCAACAATTACGAGGTCTTCTGGCGGCACCTCAGCTGTCTTTTCCTCCAGCAGAGTCCAGAACTCGTCCTTTGATTGTTCACTACATCCCGTCTGCGGAGGATATGCCGCAAGGAAATAGTACAGTCATTGCTTGACAGCAAGAACAATCTCAATGAAACGATGTCGAAACGTTCCGCGCTAGCTATCGAGTCACGGAAACGTTGAGAGACGATTATAACCACTCCCTTAGTAGTCCTTGGCTTGCCACAAAGAACGGCCTTGAAGCCGTGACCAGTGTCTCCCGATTTGCAGCTGGACGATCTGGTTTCCTGCACTGCACAGAGATCGATTCGCCTGCGCTCTAGCCCCTCTGCCAATTCACATGAACGTCCGGTCAAGGTTCCAACATTCAACGTTGCAATACGAACTTTACACGCTACACTGTGAGACTTTTGGACTGTCCTGGTTGCCCCCCCCCCCGATGCCGTCCTTGCATCGAGGACCCTCGCGTACTTTCGACACTCGCCGAGTCATACAAATGCCCGTCGACTCCCCTCGGACGCCGTAGCATTGTCTCTTGGTTCATGTGGCATAGAAGCCTGCATTGCCTACGTTTTCCAGCTCGCAGAGACGACCTTCCAGCGGCACCACGTGGAGGAGCAGACTTCACTACCCACCATTATACTCGAATGCAACATAAATATGCTGGGGCAATCAGAAGTTTCCCGATCAAGTTTCCTTCTCAAGGTGTCGCTTTTAGCCACTGTTTGCCTTGTGAGAATCGTCAGTCCCCCGTGAAGCTGTTCCATAATAATTTCCATAGTGAAGGCAATGGGATACACTAACTCGACTATACTGGGTGATTAGCGGACCTCTTTTGAGAAAGGCCAGAGCTGTGCTGGTGTGGCCTGAACAAGCAGCGATATGCAAAAGGGTTGAGCCATCCCTTGTCCGAGCTCTGATTGAACCGCCAAATTTGTCGATTAGCTGTTCAACAATCGACGTGAATCCTCGCTCAGCAGCCACGTGCACCGGCGTTTTATCGTCCTAAAATGATAAAATTAAAACTGTACCAATTACGAGTGTTAGAAGTTTCGCAAATGAGCGCTGTTCAGCATAGAGACGAGAAGCCATTTCGTTCTTTACTTCTCTAGTTCCTGTTTAATTTAACGTTTCTCCTAGATGAGACCTGTAAACTCTTGATAAATATGAGCGAAGTACACTCTACGGCTTGGCTTTGTAGGAGTTTACAGGCTTCAGTGGACGCATCGGTAAGGATCGATGGGACCCAACAAGTCGCCCCCATTAAGCCGAACGGCGCCTTGCAAATGCAATTTTTTTCAGCAGTGGAACGGAACGTTTGTTGGTTGATTTTTTGGTGTGCTTAAAACTTATTTAACAAAAGCTCACTCCATGCCAATTAATTTCTGTTAAAAATGATGAAGGAGACAAGTCAAGTCTTCTTCTAGCTCACAATGAGCAACAGCGTTGCTTTCGGAACTTTGGCACACTTCTCTCCTTGTTTCTTAATAACCTCCATGTTTATCAACGAAATGAACACACCTTGTCGAGAACGTTGGCATTGGCGTGCAGTTTGAACATGATTTTTAGCAGATTAGCGTCCCCCAAGTAGGCAACCTCGTGCAGTGCTGTGCGCCCCACTGCATTCTGCATGTTCGCATCGTCGCATCCAGCCGCTATTACTGCCCGAATTGCCTCTGGAAAGACATTTTCGAGCTATCTGTGGATCCACTGGTCCGCGGATCCCACTTACCCATGCTCCCGCCTCGACAGGCCAAATGGAGCAATGTGTCGCCAGCTCCATCTTGTGAGATGCTCTGTTGGTGCGTGTGGTGGCTGAGCAGCAGTTCAGCTTGAGAAACATTTCCGGCCTGCAGCTAATAGAACTACCCTGTTGCTTCCCCCAACTGAGTGATACAGAACAAACCTTGAGTGCCAAATGCACCGGCAATGACCCGTTACCGTCTTTTTCGAGCGATTGTTTCTCGAAAACCTCCAGAATCCGTCGCACGATGAAGTATGCATGTTTTGAATGCCTCTCACATGCCATATGAATCGGTAACTGCTGGTGCGGCTGGAAAAAAACTTGTGTACATATCGCCGGCGCTTAATTCTCAACTCTTGGCCCGCAATGGCGTCGTCGGTTGCTAGGGCGTGCTTAATCGGTTTGACCACCATTGTCTCGCATTTGCTATAAACGGCCCTTGGGGAAACCAATGGAGAGATCCCCTTTATAAATCCTATCACCTTGGTTATGTGACATAGAACATCGCTTCAAGGCCCTGATCTCAAAGTGGCGGTTTTCATCATAGTCGGACTCACATCATCCTCATCCTTTTTCCAATCACCTTGCAAACACGACCTTGCAAACACGACGCCAATCTGGAGCTTTTTGGTCCCCGGACACCAGAGGGCAGTGCAGGCCTCACATCGACAATAGTGGTGATTTGTGTTCCGCGAGCATTTGTATAGCTAGCATTGGGCGAAAGACCTCACCGCCTCCCCCTCCGTGTGAAGGTATTGGAGTGGAAATCTTGCCCGGATATCGCTTCAAGTGCTCGTTGAGACGAGAGAAGTCGACGTTGCAGTGTTCCACCATCTAGGTGTTCTTCTCGAAATTATATCCCAGTTGAGGTTTGAACAACTGTTTGGGAACAATGCAGTGGGAGAGGTGCTAGTTGAGGCAACCGAAAAACAGTGGGTGCTTCCTTTTCAAATGGGCGAAGGAAAATCATTCTTCTGATTGGACATACACCCAATATCCCAGAGATGGAGCATTCCATTTCAACATGGTTTGCGATGCGTTTTCGTGAGATATTTCCATTTGAGAACGTGTCATCATTTAGCAGTGGAAAAGACATGATTACAATTGTACCAAAACCTGAATATCCCACGAAAAGCGCAGTGGTCCGAATGAAACACGCAGCCACACCCTCCCCATATCTGCGATATGGAGTTTATATATGGGCACATATTGTTATACGCTACCAAGAACGCTGTGTGAAAGCTAAAATCCCAAATCCCTCATGAATCTATTGAGACATACTCCCCCCGGGGCCATTGAATTGATTCCTGGGAGGACAAAAACACAGGTTGGTACACGAGCACAAAACGTTCTTAGGCAGCGTTCATACTTCGCGACAGCAGCGGCGATCGCGGCGATCGCCGCGATCGTCGGTACATGGCAGAGCGCGCCCCAACGCTATTACTTGCGCTGCGAAGGCTCTTGGAAAGAAGCGACTCAGTTTCCTCTTTTTTCCTTTAACTGCAATTTTCTTAGATACTGAAGCTTGGTTTGACACAAGGAAGGGTGAACCCAACTTAATGGCTTTTGTTTTCTATTTTCTTTCTTAATTCAGGATAGAAATGAGCAAAAAGCGTGATAGCTTCATTTAGGGTAGGTTTTTATTGTTTCTTTTTTCATTCGTCGAGCTTATACATGAGGTTATAAAGTTCTCACCTGTTGATGTTGCTTAAAATGATTAGTGTTATGGTTCCTAGGTGAGTTTCTTTCTGTTTCTTCTGTTTCTTTTTGTTCTTCGTTGTTTGAACTCGACTTGTAGACCATAAATGTTTTGGAAGTTGGAACAGTTCAAACGATAGGAACTTTCAAGGCGCTCGCATAAATTGAAACAATAAAAACAAAAGAAACAAAAAGAAGCTCACCTAGGAAATGGACCTGGCCTTATCCCGACCTAAAAAGAAGTGAAACCTCCTTACATCATATTCCAGATCCACTTATGTATAGAAAGTCGTAAGTTATCAGTTAGTAGTCATTTAAGAGAAAAGAAGGTCCCACAAGTTGGATTTCCTAATTGATCAAGCGAGCAGTCCATAATAGCGTTGGGGCGCGCTCTGCCACGTACCGACGATCGCGGCGATCGCCGCTGCTGTCGCGAACGCTGCCTTACACACCTCGAAAAGGATCAATCAAGCGTGAAAACGTTCCTTTCATGTTCTAGATGATCACGATATTTCGTCTACAGGCTTTGCCACCACATATGCGGTCGGAAAAAACGTGTATAACCCAAAACATAATTAAGAAATATGCTTTCAGGAAGCTGAAAAAGAAATTCCCAAACGTTTTCTTCGAACTCACCCCGCCCGGTCGTCGCAGGAGTTCGCGATTCCATTTAATAATCGCGTCCAGCATATCTTTATCCGAGTACATGGCGCAGATGTGAGCAACATTTCTCAGGTCCTGAAATCGCTCCTCTTTTTTATACTCATAGCCTTTCTTAGGGATTTCGCTTACCTTTGTGACAACGTTGATGTCTGCTCCCTTGGAGAGCAATTTCTCGAACAAAATTCTCTTTCCCTCTTTCACGGCATACATAAGTGCAGTGAAGCCGTGCTGAACAAAAAGAAAATGTCTTGCGCCATCCCGGCAACCCTACCGACAGCTGGTACATTACTCATGAATTTTTAGCTGGGGCAAAGGTGGTGTATTGGCAAGTGCTATTGCTTAACACGCACGCATTGTTTTTTTAAGTCTTGGATTAGCTGTTATGTGAAGCACATAGGCAGGTTGTACCTTTCAGCTGGCAAGGGGGGAGGGGTCGTTTTTGGTAGTTGTTGGGAGAACGGGGGGGGGGTCGTAGTGACAGCACTATTTTACACATCACGATGCTGATTTCTAAGTCAATCGGCATTGCCCGCAACCGATCGATTTCTTAGCCTTTTTTCCATTTTATTGGGCTGAAAGAAAGTCCATGTTGGTATTTTATTTTTATTTTATAGCACCACATAGAATAGGAATTAATCAGCACTTACTCGCAAGCATTAGCCACTATAGTGCTCCATCTAATGAACAGTACAGCGATCCCTTTCTCTGGCGACGAGTGCAGAGGCTCAAACAAGTCGGCGACTTCTCGACTGGTGTCATCAAAATCGCTGACAGTGCTGAGAAAGCCTCAAGGTGGCAGAACAGGTGCCAATCGTAATGATCTATGTCAGGAGACTATGGTGGGCGGGGTATGGCCACCCAGCCTTGCTCCTCAATCAATCGGTAAAGCTCCATAGCAGTACGGGGTCGCGCGCGATCACGAACAAGGACCCCGAAGTTGGTATCGGTCATTTTTTTCCAACAGCTTCTACGAGTTTCTGGGGCTGAGCGACACAAAGGGCAGCGGTGATCGTGTGTTTTACAGAGCAGCTCGTTGTGCAGCATCCTCCTCGCGTCCCAGAAGTCGCACAGGAGAACCGCCTTGGAGTGCATGCCCAGTCTGACCTGCTGAAACGAGTCTTCTGATCAAAACAGTCACAGGGTGCTGCCTAAATTGAAATTGTAGAGAAGACACTCGTTCCCACCAACCACTCTCCCACAACCCTTCTAATGGGGGCTGGACCCAGCACTCTTCAATTACCGAGGGCTTACAGACTGTCGGCTAGGTATAGCAGAGTGGCAAAACTGCTGGCAAAAGCCTCCGGATCCTCTGTGACAGTCGAGAACAGTGAAGTATTCCACTTTGTGAACGCGTCCCAAGCAAGTGCCTTTGAAGATAGTGTTTCTTGAATAGCTTACAGCTTTCAAGTCTTTGAAGAAGTCTTTCAAGCTTTGAAGAAGTCTTTCAAGCCTTTGAAGAAGATAGCAAGTGCCTTTGAAGATCTTCTTTTGTGGAGCGAGCGAACTAGCGATGGACAGTCCTAATGGTAGTGGCGCCTTCCCTCCATACACTGTTGATGTGACGCGACAGCTTCGAGAGTATTCTACGCGCATAGCATGTTACATCATATTTAGGCATCAAGACTTGAAAGCTGTAAGCTATTCAAGAAACACTGATAGGACTTTCTTTCCAGCCTGATATATCAATGAAACCTCAATAAACGCATGCTTGGACTAAGAGCTAGCGCTCTGTAACTCTCATTAGTTTGAGCCTTAACCAGGTCCTTTTTCACAGTGTCAGTAATAGTACCCTGTTCTTTAACCTATAACCATAACCGCACATTGCACACTTTTCAGCTATGATAACCAATTTGTCGCCACAGCCCAGTTATCGTAGAAACCCTCTGGATCCACGATCCCTACAAAAACTTGCAACAGCCGGGGTGTACTCGTTGTGATTTTCACAGCTTGCTGTGGTGATTGCTGGCAATATCTGGGGATCAAGGCATGCCTCGGCGATGAGGAAACTTTTTCTCGTAACCATCTCTCGCGTTTTCGTCATGAAGGAAAAAACCAAAAAAAAATCCTTCCCCATCACAGATTCCTCCCGACCGGTCCAGATGGGAGCCCCATGAACGCATGCATGGATCACCATCTCTATACGCAGCTCACAGCCTCCCTGCTGGGAGGGAATCTTAGAGATTGTTGCCCTGGTTGTCGAAGCAGCGCGCCACTGGCTCTCACAGTGCGGTCCAAAATACTCAACTGAAATCCTTTCAACCGAAAGTGTGCAGGAAGCTCGAATCGATCAAGGTTCCACCTCATGTGACCATCCATTATTTAAGTGTGAGACTCACCAACAAACACATAAGAAGAGACGGGTGTTCCCCCAGAGCATGGACTAGAACTGAATTACTGGTCGTTTGTTATTGCCTCTAAACTGTCAGGACACAGATGTGATGAGTTAATGAGTGCATTCTCGAAAATCGTCCAGTGTTTCTAAACATATGCCATGCGTGCATGTCGGCATCTCTTGAAACGGCTAATACCCCTCCTCGATTCTATCACAGTAACCCAGATCGATGATTCAGATGTTGTTATCAGTGGTCATTGAGATGATGATGATGACATAGTTTGGTACTCAGGTTTTGCTCACTACTCGCCTACCTTCTCAGAAATTTCAATTCGCGAACAGCGCTGAATGACAGTAGCTGCGAGAACAGGGTAAGCTAAAGAAGGAATAAAAAATGGGTGCTGCCTCTATTTCACCGCCCATCCGTTCATCGCGGAGTGCTGTATTAAATATAGCGTTTTTTCGAATGTTTTGGAGTTCCACAAAGACAAAAAGGATTGTAATCCCACTACAGGGGAAGTACATATGGCATGGTGACACTAGGCCAGACCTTCCTGAAAGAATCAGGTTTTTCAAAGGGGGATGAATCGTAGCTGGCAGACAACTCATCATTCGAACAACTCGAAGCACCTAGTCACCTTTGTCACAAAAACCGAAAGTCTCTTCAACATATGCCAATTGTCATCACGTTTTTCAACGTATATGATGTGAATAACTACCTTGTTGGACCTTGAGTTTAGCCATCTCACCTGGTCAGACATTGAGAAGTCGCTCCGTTGTATTTTGTCAAGCTCACTTTCCATCGTTGGCCATTGCTCGTGCTTTGCCATGTACAAGACCTTGAAATTGAAATTCATAAGAGGAATGCAGCGCTCAGCTTTTTCCCGAGCAGCTTCAAAATTAGAACTAGGCCGGCTACAATCCTTCAAAGCCTATTTCATATAACCATCATTTCGAAAATCCAGGCAAATATGGAATTAAAAACGCCAAACAAAGGCTAAACTGCAGACCTTTGTCTGAGAATCAGCCAGGGAGAGATCGATTTGTGTGTCACGACGTTCCATATTTACTTTTTCACCCTGCAAACTTTCGACGACGGAAGCTCTGTGATCGGTGATCGCGCTCTTCGTTGGTAGAGAAGAGCCCTCGTCCTTTGAGGAGTGATGGGCGAATGTTGTCTAAATAACGAGTTATCGCCAGGAATAGTTCAATGTATTGAATGCAACAGCAACTCTGATTTACTTTCATTTCCCCGAATTCATTTCGACTTATCTTCACATCTCCGGGTGTTGGTTCCTTGGTCGTCTTCATATCTCCCGGTAAAGGCTCCTTTGTCTCTTCGTTGCTCGAATTACTTTCTCTGGACTTCCTCTTTGGTACGAACACCTTTTTTGAAGGTGTTGGAGCTTCACCCGTCCTTGGAGGTGATTGTACTCCTTGAGGTGACTGTACTCCTTCATCTAGAGGAGTTTTTTGGAATGTATCCATAGAGAGTCGTCGACGTCTATCACTTATCAAACCCTAAAATAATTTCGCTCATAGAGAACCACTATCCTTTCAAAATCAGCTTTCCCCGCAACCTTGAGTCCCAGCTTCTCATATTCGATTTCATCTCTGGTTTCCAGGAGCAAACCGATCATTCCTTGGTAATTTGCCGATTTAGGACGGAGCATTTCCTCCATGCGCTGAAACAAATTGCCAAAATAACCCTAGATTTTTCAACCACATAATCGTTAGGCTCACAGTTCTTTCATAAGGAATCGATTTTATCTCTTCAAGCGCTGTTCCCAGGATACCAGTGCGGGTACTCAGTTGTGTCCTCAATGAGTGATCGTACTTCCTCAGTCTATTTCAAGTTTTAGTGGAAGGTTTACCTGTCAGCTTCCAAATCTTTGAGGTCTCTTCGCATTTCCCTAAGTCCTACAGCCAGTATACCTCGTCTCGACTCCATTGATCGAGCTCTCCGCGGAACGTGTGGTGGTGGATTCTGTGGAATCTTCAGAAAAACATTTCTATTGGCAGATCGCTTCACTTACCTTGCCGTTTCGTATTTCCCAGAGCGCATTGGCAAGTATCCCAGGCGGTCGCTCTATTTCTTCCATTACTAGCGATAGAAGCCTAAGAAATTATCGGGTGTAATTACAATAGCACAAAGATAATAAGAAGCTTTTATGCCAGCGAAAAATTGCCTGCTAATTGGTTTAAATCGAAAGAACTCACACTATTCGAACTATAACAAGTAATCTATACGGCGGTATGTTGACTGGTGTTCCAGAGAGGTGAGCTCAATTGGCTATGGCCGCGCCGCAGCGCTACTGCTATAGCCGCCTACGGGAGTCTGAAGCACCACGCCCAACTGTTCTTCCGGTCATTGAAGCGAACAACGAGAAACACTCTTTCCGCCTGACAAATAGTGGCGAAGGCTGGCTGTCAGTTAGGAAGAAAAAACCTCAAAACCTTTTTACCAGGAAGGAAGGCTTTTGAAGGAAATGACGCCGGATATTCCTTGAAAGGTTGAAATGTCGCCCTTGCCGAAAACTATCACCTTTTTTTCTCCATTATCCGCGACGAGCCAATTCCTTTTTGTTAGAGCTACAGCGAAGTTGTTGTGCTCATTGGAAAGAGCAAATCCTTTAGTTTGCACAACCACGTAGGGTTCTGCTTTACGTTTCATCTGAACAAAGAAGTGTCCATCAAAAGATAAAAAATTTTCGCATCCATCAAAAATTTTCCGTATCGTTTCTGGTGTATATGTTACAGAGACCCCTTCTCAGAAACAGCGAATCAACTTTATTGTTTAGCACAAGATCGTTCGCGAATGACGTTAAGCGCTTTTTATGAAAGATTTCAAAGGAAGTTCAGTGCATCATGTCCTCGCAACCGCAGAAAATGGGTGGTTACTTCGACAGCCTGTAAGTGGGGGAGGATGTCGCGGAGACACTTCTTCCTGGAGGGAGGTCGTACCGACCGAGCGATTTCTCGCGACGTGATGCATGTTCCTGTTTCCCATTGACAAGAAGCTTCAAGGTTTCCCTCAAGCGCTCAGTGGAGTTGAGATCCAGACCACTGTAGAACAAAAACGTTAAATCTAACCATTACTTCACGTTTACATACATATGCTTCAGTGTGTGTTGAGACTCCTAGCATTAGTTTCATGGCTTTTCCGGGCATGTAAAACGAAAGGAAAACTAGCTTTCGTCGTAGAATTACATGCTGTAACTAACTAGAGTTTTTTTTTCAACGCGAAAAGCTGTTTGGCCTTGAGAGGAGGAACATCCTGCTTTGCTAGTTTCTATTACCAGCTCCTGTTGACTTACACTTCTCATCTTAGTGCAAGCTGTAGACTTCTATCGAGCGTAAACGAAGCTCTTGCTGTTGCATAGGTTTAGAAGACCTCACAGGTTCCAGAGAAACTGGAGCATGGAACCAGCATTCAAGTCTGCCGTTGGAGAAAATTTTTGCAAAATGTGACCCTTCCACAAAATATACTTCTCTTCCACAATCTCTCTTCTCCATCCTTCCCCCCCCCTTCTCATATCCTATTAGCCATTTTCCTGAACTTTCCCAACATCCTACCACTCCTCTCAAGTTTTTTTTTTCGTTTTTTCTCCAATTCCCGCAAGAAACTGCCATTGAGTGTTAGAGGTGGGGGCGCATTCGACGACAGGGGGGGGGGCATTACTTTCCTTGATGAACTGGTTCCGGTTTACAAGTATTAATCTGGTGAAACCTGTGAACTCTTGTGGAGCTGGAGCAAGTTCATCATTGTAAGACCTGTTAACTCGAGAGGAGGCTGTCTGAATTGGTCGGCACGTCGACCGAAAGTATCAGACGTGCAAAATGCCCCCCGTGTTCAAACTGCGCCGAGGTGGGCAAGAGAGGCGGGGGGGGGGTTATATAGCACACACTCCAAACAGGAAAGACCGAGAAGGATTCATAACCGAGAACATTTTTTTGAAAGGCAAATGTGGCTCCTTTCCCCTCCAGCGATCAAACGCGAGTCCTTTGCTGGGGACAACGTACGAAATGGGCACCATGTCATGCCACCATAACGCCCCCATCAAGCTGCACCAGGTTAAAGAAATCCTTGGAAAATGCCATCCTAAGCCTTTTTCCAAGTTTATTTCCGCCGGCCGTGCACATTGTTATCAAATGTGATCAGAGATTGAGTTGTGTCAAAATGAGCTGCTCACAAGTGCAGGGTCCATGACGAATCCTATTAAAGGCAGTTGGCACGATTATTTGGCATTGGCCTGAAATGCTAGCAGGACGCTATATAGTGGGGAAACAGCGAAAGAACGGAGTGAAACGGTCAAAATCCTGCTAATAAGAATCCTTCGTTCTCAATGTGATCAAAATCAATTTTGGACGAGTTTCCCATAGGGATCTTGCCAATAACCGCTACCGATTCCATGCAGCATCACGGCCGCTTCATACCGATCCTTTCGCTTTATAATTTGCTCAGCAAACGAATCGACCAGAGCGTCAGGAACGGTCGTCCATTTGTGAACGGGCGGGCGTGGCGGGCGTTTGGTCGGTATGTTGTGGTTTGATAGGGTCCTTATAAGGGCACCTCGCTTGGAAAAGGGGCTACGCAGCGCCTACCCAGGGTAGCGGGATTCCCCCCTGCCAGGCGCTTTAATCCTACTCGTCTTGGGGGATTTATCGTGCCAACTGCCTTTAAAGCGAGTATTCCATCTAATGGTATCAAAGTTCATAATTGGATTTTCCAGAGATCGGAGTCAAACAATCCCGAGAAGGAGGGGCCCAGTAAGACCTCATTCCCTAACCTACCTCAACGACTCTAAAGGCATTGGCCTCTCACCCGAAATTTCCCAAGATTTGCCATCGAGCAGTAGTTAGATATTTCATTCAACTAGTATTTGTAACACACTGCCCACTATAACAAATACAATTATAGCGACTCGAATACGAGGCCATCGATAGGATAGCTTTCACATAACTGGTTGAAACAAATGTTCTCCAGTATGTCCTTATGAAGGGCCAAAAACAAGCTTATATATTAGGTTGGCTAATAAGTAATGGCCGTTTTTTTCAATTGAAAAATTTGTTCAAAAAGTGAAACGTTTTGCAAGCATGTTATATATCATCTGGTAGGAAACTTCACGTAGTATAAGAATATCACAAAAGCTTCGGTTGAGGATATAGTTTTTATGAATTTTTTAGTCGTTGTAGTTGGAAGTGAAGTCGGCGAAAATTAGCATCTTCGACAAGTGCCTCTATTTAGAAATTTCATGCTAATAGTTGAATTAATTGAATTTGAATTTGATATTCTAATACTACGAGAAGTTTGCTATTAAATGATGTTAAGCTTGCTTTGCATAAAAACTTCTCACTTTTGAAACAAATTTTTCAATTGAAAAAACGGCCATTACTTATTAGCCAGCCCACTAGCAGTCATTAGCCAGCCACTGACAGTGGGCTGGCTAATAAGTAATGGCCGTTTTTTCAATCGAAAAATTTGTTCCAAAAGTAAAATGTTTTGCAAGCAAGCCTAATATCGTTTAATAGCGAACTTCTCGTAGTATTAGAATATCAAATTCAAATTCAGTTAATTCAACTATTAGCATAAATTTCAGGTGGAACAGACGTGAGCCTGCCCAATATTGGCAAGGTGAAGGTTGCCAACTTTGAAATTCTTGAAATTAGTTCCAAGGCGTCCTATTGAGGTTCCCTTGCTGACGCTTCTACCTCAACCTTTTCCGAATGTATGGAGCAGCTTAAGCGATTTTTAGCACTTCGAGTAGACGTAAATAGAGGCAGTTGTTGAAGATGCTAATTTTCGCCGACTCTCAATTCCAGCTTCAACGACTAAAAAATTCACAAAAACTATATCCTCAATCAAAGCTTTTTTGATATTCTTATACTACGTGAAGTTTCCTATCAGATGATATATAACTTGCTTGCAAAACTTTTCACTTTTCGAACAAATTTTTCAATTGAAAAAAACGGCCATTACTTATTAGCCAACCTAATAAATACGATAACACAAGAAAAACTTGGAATAGTCCAACAAATAGAATGGTCTCAACATACATATTTATTCATCATGGAACCAACAGTAATAGGAGCACTAGCTAGTAGCATAGTGTAACAAGATGCATAATACATTAATAATGTATTGGGTGGAGGCAACACACGCCTCCACCCAACTTATGTCTCCCTCCCTCCTCCTCCGATAAATGAGATCTATACGAATCGATGCCTACTTGAATTTTGATCGTTTGTGCGCATTCAGAAGTTTTTGATTTCGCGATGTATTGCAAAATGGATAAGAAACTTCGGAGGCACCCTTTCTTTGACCACAGCCTTTTAGGGTCTTCTTCTCCCTAGCGTTCTCCCCTGCGTTGACTCGGGTCTTCACCGCCTGGTCCACGCTGCCATCAGCTGCTAGATCGCTTCCCAGGTACTGGAAGTCCTCGACCCTTTTGATGCTCTCGCCATGGCGGTCTACGATGGGTTCGGTACAATCTTTGGAACTCAGGAACTTGATCTTCTTTACGTTCAGCCGGAGATCATTCTCAGCGAGCACATCCTGCCACCGCTCCAGCTTGTCCTGGGATTCTTCCATGCTGTCCGCTATCAGGGCGATGTCGAATGGTTTTAGTGGCCTATTCATGACATGGCCTTCTGCCGTGACATCTACAGTCAGGAGGAAGAGGAACGGGCTGAGGGCTGACCCTTGGTGTACCCCAACCGTAATCTTTACCTCCTTTGTCAAGCCGTGAGGTGTGCGTACAGCTGCTTTAGCCCCATCGTACATGTCCTTCACTAAGGAGACCAGGTGCTCCTGACCTTACGTTCTCTAAGCGCTCTCCAGAGCACAGGCGGTCGAATGCCTTCTCAAGGTCCAGGAAGGCTAGGTAGCAGGGTCACCGCTTCTCTCGGTACTTCTGCATCAGCTATCTGGTGATGAGGATGGCGTCGGTTGTGGACCTTTCGGGCATGAAGCCGGACTGTTCCTGCGGGATAGCGACAAGTTCTCTAAACCTTGTCTTGACCTTGCGCTTGTACAACTTCATGGCATGGGAAGTCATCTTGTGCCGCGGTAGTTGGAGCACTCCGTCGCGTCCCCTTTCTGTTTAAAGATGGTGACGATTGTGTTGCTCCTCCACGCGTCCGGCATCCTTCCTTCAGCCGTTACCTTGCTCAGGAATTGTGTGAGCCAACTCACCCTATGCTTGCTCTGCAAGGGCCTTCCATGCCTCTATCGGTACCACATCTGGATCCACTGCTTTCCCCAGCCTTCATTTTCCCTAACTCTCAGCAGACTTAATCCTCCGTCCAGGGATCGATGGGACCTGCCGTCGCATCTATCTGTGGACTATCGTTGCGGGGGAATTCTTCGTTCAAAAGTCCCTCGAAGTATTCTTCCCACCTCTTTGTGACTTCGGCTGGTTTCTTGAGAATGGCCCCGTTGCTGCTCTTCACAGTCTTCACGACCCTGATGTCCTAAGCAGCGCGATGCCAAACTTTAGCCAGACGGAAGACCAACTTGTCCTCTTCTCGGTCCTCCAGCTTCTCGCACAGGGCGTCCATTTCCGTATTCTTGGCCTTAGGAACGGCTGCCTTAGTGAGTCGCTCGCAGCTCTTGTAGGCAGCGAAGTCTTCTGGGGTCTTTGTCCTTTGCCAGCGTTTATGTGCTTCCTTCTTCTTCTTCTTCTTGAAAACCCCTGAACATCCTCGTTCCAGAACCAGGCTGCCTTGTCTCCTCTGATACCACCCCGTGTCCTCCCAGGACTCCTTTGCACACTGTAGGATGACCCTCTACTGCGTAGGTCCAGGTGTCCCAATGGCCCATGTGGGTCTGGGACATTCATTCATTCATTCACATTCAGAGAATTCTGGGAGCCCATCTCCCAGAATTCTTTGTCTGAGGCTATCCTTTTCTGCCTTGCGCATTTTCCACCATCAAATTCTCCGCACTGCTCTCACCCTCGTCTTCTTGGGAAAGTCTATGGCGATGTCTGCCAGGAGAGGCCTGTGCTGAGGGCCCAGCTCTTCTAGAAGCAGTACCTTGATATCCTTGACGGTATTGAGAGACGATCTTCTTGCCAGGGCATGGTCGATTTCCGTTTGTCTCCCTCCACTGCTGTAGGTAATCTTTTGAGTGCTCCTCTTCATGAGGGAGGTGATGCAGATTGCTAAGTCGTGGGCTGTGGCGAGGTCGAGAATCCGTTCTCCCTCAGCGTTTTTTGCTTCTATTCCTTGACCTCCGCACACCTTTTCCAGGCCCCTTCTGTCACTTCCCACATGACCGTTCGGATCCCCAGCTATGGTGAGGTAGTCATCTTCCGGAACCGATCTTATGGGCTCGTCCAGGGTCAGGCAGAACTTATCCTTTTCCGCCTCGGAGCAACCGGATTGTGGTGCGTACACGGTCAATACTGTCCACTACCCCTCCTTCGCATCCACTCTCACTCACATGATCCGATCACCGATCCTGTTCACAGAGGAGACGCAGTCCTTGAAGGTTTCTGCCACCGCTATGGTCCATTGTAGAAGAGTTTGATACCTTCTCCAATCTCGCGGGCCTTCGCACCCTTCCATCGCGTTTCCTGAAGGCATAGGACTTGGATATTCCGGCGTCTCATGAGGTCGGCAACCTCGCGAGACTTAAAGGTAAGTGACCCCACATTCAGGATCCCAATTTGAATTACACTGCGAAGCGTAATCATAGCTCCACCCATGAAGCTCACAAAATCCCGTCTTAGGCAACGTTCAGACTTGTAGCGCTACAGCGTCGCGCTAGAGCGTCGCGCTACAGCGTAGCGCTACAGCGTGCGCTACAGCGTCGCGCTACAGTTGTACCGAACTCCAGCTTTTATGTTTTTTCTTTATGTATTCAACCCTCTTGTCTTTGTTTCTCATATTTATCTGATAGCGAGCTCCTGTTTTCTACTTTATTACGTTTCAATGCAGTTGAAGCGTGAATAAAGTAAAACAATTTCGTCATCGAAGTCAGTGTTAGGCACCAGTGCAAGACATCAAGCAAAGCCATCAAACATCAATAGCAACTCTGATACCAAGTAAGTAAAGTCAAAAACGATAAATAAAACCAATTATCACAGTCTTCTGTATCAAAAACTACATTAAAATGTGATAAAGTAGAAAACAGGAGCTCACTATCAGAAAATATGAGAAACAAAGAGAAGAGGGTTGAATACAGAAAGAAAAAACGTAAAAGCTGGTGTTCGGTACAAGCGTAGCGCTACCGCTGTAGCGCGACGCTGTAGCCCTACGCTGTAGCGCGACGCTGTAGCGCTACAAGTCTGAACGCTGCCTTACATGACGTTTTCAAAAATGCCCCATACAGAGAATGTGGTGATTACCGATATCAATTCGCATGCCAACACCGAACTCCAGCTTGAGAAACTATTTTTTTCGTCAAATTTTTTCAAAATGGTCGTTCTGACAACGCAGCAAAAATATAGTTCCACCGCATATTTCCCGGCTGCATCTCATTTTTGTTCGGTGAAACTTCTCATCATTATGACTTCTCGCCTCTTCTAGGCTATGGCAAGTGGAACTTCATTAATGAACCTCGAAAAAGGACAAATTATCGAAAGAAGACTCAAAAACTGGTGAAGCGTCGATCGCTCGGGTCAGGCCGCCCTCATCATTCTATCAAAAAAATTTTTCCAAGGGACCTACAGGATATTGAGTTCAGAAGAGCTCTGGACATCCTCCTTTGCTGCCCGATGGGAATAACCACCGTATCCTTAGGGAAGCATCCAACTCTGCAGTGTCGTGTCGGGAAATTAAGTCATCTTCGCAGGTTAATGTCTCGGAGGATACTGTTAGCCGTGTCCTGGAAAACTTCCGAGTTCACCCATAGGAGGAATATGAGTTACGTACTGTTTCTAACACAAAACCATCACGAAAACGTAATTTGCTTTGCTCGAAGATGTTGCCGAACCCAATGGGGTGAGGTGGCTTTTGACTGCTGTGCCCTACTTCTTGTCTGTAGTGTTTTTTCAGTTTTTTTTCTCGCGGTCGTGTTTCCTGGTAAGAAAAAATTCAACTACGACGGCTCCGACGAAAAGCGATTGCGCTGGCACGACCTGAGGAACACAGAAATGGCTCGTCGGCTATTATACGGCGCCGCGCACTCTTCCGAAAATTCCCTAACGATGATGTGCCCAACTGCAGTAGTGAACACTTTCCTATGTCTCTGGAATCTCCGAGGTGCCCCGTACTCTAAGGAAGGGCCCCGCACCTCAATTGGACTTGGCGGCGGCTGCGCTTTCGTGAAATATTTTCATTTTAAGGCAATTGTAAACATGATCTTGTTTAACATAAGGCAAAATGGGTGTTGTCTCGAAGTGACATATCCCACAAATAACCCATCTTACGCCCCTTCTGAATGCAGTCGCAGTCTTGCCGCGTCTCAGCAACGTAGAAGTGAATCGAGATTTTCATATAAAACTGCTTCCTAGTGATAATAAATTATTAAGCATGTACATAACGAATCTGGTCCTGAAGTGGATTCGCGACAGGGGCGGAGTAGATGTGATTTTTGAGATGAACAAGGTTCGTTTCCTTCGTTTCATTCATCAGTCAAGAGTTTAGCTAGGAATGTCGTCATTACGAATTTCTTCTAGACAAAGGCTGGAATGCTGTACGATGTCATTGATAGCTTCGATGGGTTTTATACCTGTCCTGTAGATAAAAAATGCGCCAGTTATATGAAATCTGTTTCTGTATCCAAGGAGGAAATGAGGCTTTAGAAGCTGATTTCTAAAGGGAGCCGCTGATAGAGGAATGATCTCTCTGAAAGGAACCAGGTAACAACTTTCAGGTCTAATTGGAACCTTCCCCGAAATGTGATAAATCGCATTCTAGATCTGTGGGTGGTATTCGAGCGTCCCTCTAACAATGCGGTCACAGTGGAAGAGACAGCGATTCTCGTCGACTGGATGCGAGGGAATTCATGGCCTCGCAAGCAGCCTAACTTCATGGACATTGGCTAGTACGCGTCCGAATCTCCCAGTCCGTGCCTTTCCCTGATGCTGATTTATGTGATACTGTATGTATGCCTATTCGTACGAAATTGATCGGTTCTGGAAAAGATTTCTGATTCCAAAGAAGTCTAAATATCGCTACCACAGCGCACAGTTTGCAGTGCCTTATTATGTCATTCTAAATGATGATTCTGTAACTACTCATATGTGTGATAATCGGTAAGATTTGATGAGATCAATTGTAACTCTCATTTTGGGGATGATAAGCATCCCTTTGATGTGGTTGTGCTATGTGAAGTTCAATAAAGCACGTGCTTTTTGATGTTCGAACACTGGATATTGAAATATCGAAGTAAGGTAGACGAGAATAGAACTCCAAATCGAGGGCAGAGAGTAGCCATAGAGCTTTGCGGTACAAGGGAACGAGGGGCCTCTCAGTATGCATCCTTGTTCTCGTTCAAAGCCCGAAGCAGCATGGGTGGAGGGAAGCCTAGTACCCAAGGAGTTTAGAAAGCTCAGTAATTTATTTCGACTGCTGCGGCACCAGCGCAACTCCCAGTTGCTCTCAAGTGAGCTCTGGACTCTGGTAGTGATTGCTAAGAAGACGTATAGGTCTGGTTGATTACCCGCTTTCTGCTGAGAGTGAGAGACTGTTTCGCCATGGGTAGCTGTAGTAGCACACAGCTAATGGAAAGCACTGTGGATCTTTGGATGAAATGGCAGGCTTAACTGTTCAGAGAATGCCACTTGAACATCGTTTCATTGAAAATTACGCGAAAGAAACGAAAAGCCTTTCGGATGCCTGGTTCCGAATCTACTACTGAAGTTGAGAATAATTCTGTTAATGCATATGGATTTCCTCATGAAGCGGCAGCAGAAATATGCACCTACTGTGCTGATCGGAAATGGCACTGAAGGAACATAACTAAATACATTAAAAATAAGAGTAAGAATAATAAGAAACACACTGAGAATTTGTTAATGAGAAAATATAGGTTAGAAGGAAGTCCTGTCAGTGTTTATTGCAAATACTTACAATTTTAAATTCTCCGATGTTCGCACATAACGTGACATGCTATGCTTGTAGGACACTCTGGGAGGCTTTCTGCAAGAGCCGTGTGAGGGCGCTACTCTCTCTTGTGTTTAATTACGATGTCATTTTCACAGGGGCATCTTGAGTCATCATCTTCTACCAGTGGCCCCGCGGCACTTGAGCCAACGGCAGCTCCGTAACATCAAACAGTGTATTGAGAAGGAGACATATCCTTCAGAATCGTCCACTTTTAGTTCGCCTGCTTGTCGAAAAAAAACTCGATCCTCGAAGGCAAACGTTGGTTGGGACACCCTCAAGAAGTATAAGCTTCCACCATTCTCGAAGCAGACAGGAGGGATCCAGAGGCTATCACGCGCAGTCTTGCGACAAGACTCGAATGTACTAACTGACAGTCGTCGACCGCCTGTGAGCCTTTGACTACTAAGAAGTACTGGCTTGGTGGATCATTCATACCTTGACGATTGCACGCTGTGCACCCGGGTACCCCTTAGTCAGTTTCCCCTTCTCTGCCCTGGTCAGAAGGAGTTTCCGGAAGACTGCTTAGTGGGGATGAGAGATGGGTCCTCCATGATTTCAACCCACACAGTACCGTTTGTCTCTTTCAAGGAGCAGATTCATTCTAGCAGTCCAAACCGGACATGTAATTCCGAAAAGGTTCTCCTGTGTTCCTCTTAGGACGCGAGGTGGAAGGAAAGTTTTGCTCACGTGTGTGACTTTTTTTCATTTTTTATTTTTCTAACTTAGTATAAAGTGGGCATTAGTCAACGATAACTCTCGTCATAGTTAGTCTACTGTGGTCCACCCAATGAACAGGTAAGCATTCCCCTTCTCGCAGAACTGAGAAGGCTCCGTATAGAGTAAGTCAGCGACATCTCGACTGATGTCCATCGAAATTGCTGAAAGTTTTCCTAGCTTAAGAAAGCTCTTAAGGGGTGAAGCAGAGAGCAGTCGGTGGGCCGCTACGTCATTAGAATGTTATGAGGCGGGACTGTCTTCCAGCCTTGCTCCTCGGTTATTTGGTACGTCTTCATAGCAGGTATGGGATCTCGTGTACTACGAACGAGGTGCTTCCCAGTAGTTTCGGTCATTTCTCTCCAACAACATTTCACCAGTTTCGGGAGTTGAGCGAAACAGATGGTAGCGGTGACCGTGGGTTCTTACAGGGCAGTTCGTTCTGCAGCGAGCCCCTTCTGAATGCAGTCGCAGCTTGCCGCGTCTCAGCAACGTAGAAGTGAATCGAGATTTTCATATAAAACTGCTTCCTAGTGATAATAAATTATTAAGCATGTACATAACGAATCTGGTCCTGAAGTGGATTCGCGACAGGGGCGGAGTAGATGTGATTTTTGAGATGAACAAGGTTCGTTTCCTTCGTTTCATTCATCAGTCAAGAGTTTAGCTAGGAATGTCGTCATTACGAATTTCTTCAGACAAAGGCTGGAATGCTGTACGATGTCATTGATAGCTCGGATGGGTTTTATACCTGTCCTGTAGATAAAAAATGCCGCAGTTATATGAATATCTGTTTCTGTATCCAAGGAGGAAATGAGGCTTTAGAAGCTGAATTTCTAAAGGGAGCCGCTGATAGAGGAATGATCTCTCTGAAAGGACACAGGTAACCAACTTTCAGGTCTAATTGGAACCTTCCCCGAAATGTGATAAATCGCATTCTAGATCTGTGGGTGGTATTCGAGCGTCCCTCTACAATGCGGTCACAGTGGAAGAGACAGCGATTCTCGTCGACTGGATGCAGGAATTCATGGCCTCGCAAGCAGCCTAACTTCATGGACATTGGCTAGTTACCGTCCGAATCTCCCAGTCCGTGCCTTTCCCTGATGCTGATTTATGTGATACTGTATGTATGACTATTCGTACGAAATTGATCGGTTCTGGAAAAGATTTCTGATTCCAAAGAAGTCTAAATATCGCTACCACAGCGCACAGTTGCAGTGCCTTATTATGTCATTCTAAATGATGATTCTGTAACTACTCATATGTGTGATAATCGGTAAGATTTGATGAGATCAATTGTAACTCATTTTGGGGATGATAAGCATCCCTTTGATGTGGTTGTGCTATGTGAAGTTCAATAAAGCACGTGCTTTTTGATGTTCGAACACTGGCATATGAAATATCGAAGTAAGGTAGACGAGAATAGAACTCCAAATCGAGGCGATGAGTAGCACTAGAGCTTTGCGGTACAAGGGAACGAGGGGGCCTCTCAGTATGCATCCTTGTTCTCGTTCAAAGCCCGAAGCAGCATGGGTGGAGGGAAGCCTAGTACCCAAGGAGTTTAGAAAGCTCAGTAATTTATTTCGACTGCTGGCGGCACCAGCGAACATCCCAGTTGCTCTCAAGTGAGCTCTGGACTCTGGTAGTGATTGCTAAGAAGACGTATAGGTCTGGTTGATTACCCCGCTTCTGCTGAGAGTGAGAGACTGTTTCGCCATGGGTAGCTGTAGTAGCACCAGCTAATGGAAAGCACTGTGGATCTTTGGATGAAATGGCAGGCTTAACTGTTCAGAGAATGCCACTTGACCATCGTTTCATTGAAAATTACGCGAAGAAACGAAAAGCCTTTCGGATGCTGGTTCCGAATCTACTACTGAAGTTGAGAATAATTCTGTTAATGCATATGGATTTCCTCATGAAGCGGCAGCAGAAATATGCACCTACTGTGCTGATCGGAAATGGCACTGAAGGAACATAACTAAATACATTAAAAATAAGAGTAAGAATAATAAGAAACACACTGAGAATTTGTTAATGAGAAAATATAGGTTAGAAGGGAAGTCCTGTCAGTGTTTATTGCAAATACTTACAATTTTAATTCTCGATGTTCGCACATAACGTGACATGCTATGCTTGTAGGACACTCTGGGAGCTTTCCTGCAAGAGGCGTGTGAGGGCGCCTACTCCTCTCTGTGTTTAATTACGATGTCATTTTCACAGGGGCATCTTCGAGTCATCATCTTCTACCAGTGGCCCCGCGGCACTTGAGCCACGGCAGCTCCGTAACATCAACAGTGTATTGAGAAAGGAGACCACTATCTTCAGAATCGTCCACTTTTAGTTCGCCTGCTTGTCGAAAAAAAACTCGATCCTCGAAGGCAAACGTTGGTTGGGACACCCTCAAGAAGTATAAGCTTCCACCATTCTCGAAGCAGACAGGAGGGATCCAGAGGCTACTACGCGCAGTCTTGCGACAAGACTCGAATGTACCTAACTGACAGTCGTCGACCGCCTGTGAGCCTTTGACTACTAAGAAGTACTGGCTTGGTGGATCATTCATACCTTGACCGATTGCACGCTGTGCACCCGGGTACCCCTTAGTCAGTTTCCCCTTCTCTGCCCTGGTCAGAAGGAGTTTCCGGAAGACTGCTTAGTGGGGATGAGAGATGGGTCCTCCATGATTTCAACCCACACAGTACCGTTTGTCTCTTTCAAGGAGCAGATTCATTCTAGCAGTCCAAACCGGACATGTATTCCGAAAAGGTTCTCCTGTGTTCCTCCTAGGACGCGAGGTGGAAGGAAAGTTTTGTCACAGTTGTGACTTTTTTTCATTTTTTATTTTCTAACTTAATATAAAGTGGGCATTAGTCAACGATATACTCGTCATAGTTAGTCACTACTGTGGTCCACCCAATGAACAGGTAAGCATTCCCCTTCTCGCAGAACTGAGAAGGCTCCGTATAGAGTAAGTCAGCGACATCTCGACTGATGTCATCGAAATTGCTGAAAGTTTTCCTAGCTAAGAAAGCCTTAAGGAGGTGAAGCAGAGAGCAGTCGTGGGGGCTACGTCATTAGAATGTTATGAGCGGGGACTGGTCTTCCAGCCTTGCTCCTCGGTTATTTGGTACGTCTTCATAGCAGGTATGGGATCTCGTGTACTACGAACGAGGTGCTTCCCAGTAGTTTCGGTCATTTCTCTCCAACAACTTTCACCAGTTTCGGGAGTTGAGCGAAACAGATGGTAGCGGTGACCGTGGGTTCTTACAGGGCAGTTCGTTCTGCAGCATCCACCTCGCCTCCCAGGAGGAACACAGGAGAACCTTTTCGGAATACATGTCCGGTTTGGACTGCTAGAATGAATCTGCTCCTTGAAAGAGACAAACGGTACTGTGTGGGTTGAAATCATGGAGGACCCATGTCTCATCCCCACAAAGCAGTCTCCCGGAAACTCTTTCTGACGAGGGCAGAGAAGGGGAAACTGGCTAAGGGGTACCGGTGCACAGCGTGCAATCGGTCAAGGTATGAATGATCCACCAAGGCAGTACTTCTTGGTAGTCAAAGGCTTACAGGCGGTCGACGACTGTCAGTTAGGTACATCCGAGTCTTGTCGCAAGACTGCGCGTAGTAGCCTCTGGATCCCTCTTGTCTGCTTCGAGAATGGTGGAGGCTTATACTTCTTGGGGGCGTCCCAACCAAGGTTTGCCTTCGAGGATCGAGTTTCTTTTCGCCAAGCGAGCGAACTAAAAGTGGACGATCCTGACGATAGTGGTCTCCTTTCTCAATGCACTGTTGATGTTCGTGGCTCCAGTGCCGCGGGGCCACTGGTAGAAGATGATGACTCGAAGATACCCCTGTGAAAATGACATCGTAATTAAACCAGGGAGGAGTAGGCGCCCTCACACGCCTCTTGCAGGAAAGCTCCCAGAGTGTCCTACAAGCATAGCATGTCACGTCATGTACGAGCATCGAGAATCAAAATTGTAAGTATTTTCAGAAAACACTGACAAGACTTTCCTTCCAACCTATATTTTCTCATTAACAAAACTCTCATGTGTTTCTTATTATTCTTACTCTTATTTTTTGTAGTTATGTTCCTTGTGCCATTTCCGATCAGCACAGTAGGTGCATATTTCTGCTGCCGCTTCATGAGGAAATCCATATGCATTAACAGAATTATTCTCAACTTCAGTAGTAGATTCGGAGCCAGCGTCCGAAAGGCTTTCCGTTTCTTCGCGTAATTTTCAATAAAACGATGGTTAAGTGGCATTCTCTGAACAGTTAAGCCTGCCATTTCATCCAAAGATCCACAATGCTTTCCATTAGCTGGTGCTTCTACAGCTAGCCATGGCGAAACAGTCTCTCACTCTCAGCAGAAGCGGGGTAATCAACCAGACCCGTCTTCTTAGCAATCACTACTCCAAAGCTCACTTGAGACAACTGGGATGTTCGCTGGTGCCGTCAGCAGTCGAATTAAATTACTGAGCTTTCTCAACTCCTTGGGTACTAGGCTTCCCTCCACCCATGCTGCATCAGGCTTTGAACGGGAACAAGGATGCATACTGAGAGGCCCCCTCATTTCCTTGTATCGCAAAGCTCTATGGTGCTACTCATCTCGATTTGGAGTTCTATTCTCGTCTACCTTACTTCGATATTTCATATGCCAGTGTTCGAACATCAAAAAGCACGTGCTATATTGAACTTTACATAGCACAACCACATCAAAGGGATGCATATCATCCCCAAAACGAGTTACAATTGATCTCATCAAATCTTACCGATTATCACACATATCTGTAGTTACAGAATCATCATTTAGAATAACATAGTAAGGCACTGCAACTGTGCACTGTGGTAGCGATATTTAGACTTCTTTGGAATCAGAAATCTTTTCCAGAACCGATCAATTTCGTACGAATAGTCATACATACAGTATCACATAAATCAGCATCAGGGAAAGGCACGGACTGGGAGATTCGGACGGTAACTAGCCAACGTCCATGAAGTTAGGCGGCTTGCGAGGCCATGAATTCCTGCATCCAGTCGACGAGAATCGCTGTCTCTTCCACTGTGACCGCATTGTAGAGGGACGCTCGAATACCACCCACAGATCTAGAATGCGATTTATCACATTTTGGGGAAGGTTCCAATTAGACCTGAAAGTTGGTTACCTGTGTCCTTTCAGAGAGATCATTCCTCTATCAGCGGCTCCCTTTAGAAATTCAGCTTCTAAGGCCTCATTCCCTCCTTGGATACGGAAACAGATATTCATATAACTGCGGCATTTTTTATCTAGGACAGGACAGGTATAAAACCCATCCGAGCTATCAATGACATCGTACAGCATTCCAGCCTTTGTCTGAAGAAATTCGTAATGACGACATTCCTAGCTAAACTCTTGACTGATGAATGAAACGAAGGAAACGAACCTTGTTCATCTCAAAAATCACATCTACTCCGCCCCTGTCGCGAATCCACTTCAGGACCAGATTCGTTATGTACATGCTTAATAATTTATTATCACTAGGAAGCAGTTTTATATGAAAATCTCGATTCACTTCTACGTTGCTGAGACGCGGCAAGACTGCGACTGCATTCAGAAGGGGCGTAAGATGGGTTATTTGTGGGATATGTCACTTCGAGACAACACCCATTTTGCCTTATGTTAAACAAGATCATGTTTACAGTTCCCCTAAAATGAAAATATTTCACGAAAGCGCAGCCGCCGCCAAGTCCAATTGAGGTAAGGGGCCCTTCCTCAGAGTACGGGGCACCTCGGGGATTCCAGAGTCATGGGAAAGTGTTCACTACTGCAGTTGGGCACATCATCGTTAGGGAATTTTCGGAAGAGTGCACGGCGCCGTATCCTAGCCGACGAGCCATTTCTGTGGATCGAATGGGGTGTGTTGATGATAAATTAGGAGAGGACAGAAATTTTCATTTTTCCGAACAAATCGGCGTTTAGAAAAACCAAAATTCGACTACTCATGGAACGGGGGTAAGGGCTGTAGGGAAAGAGGAACCGACCGAAACTCTGATTTCATTTCACAGTGAATGAAACGGATCAAGATGAATACAAATGTATGATGCATAACAGATGGAATTTCCTACGCTAGCACATTGTTCGGCTTAGAAGTGACATGCTCCTAGTTCTCTGTGTTTGTCTGTGTGTCTCTTGCAAGTTTCTGTTAAGTTACTTTTTCAACTTTTTTTAATTTCTCCTCGATGGAACCTCCACACTTCTGTGATACATGTACAAAGCTCGCAATATTGGATAACTTCTCAAGAGTGAACAAGTGGATCATCGATGAGAACCAGCAAAATGCCCCACCAAGTCCAGCTGCGCTCATTTTCTTCTGGCGTCATGGTTTTCTATTCGATAAAAAAGACAGAATTGTTCAGTTACCGTACTCCTCCAGCAATGCAGAAAGTGGAACTAGCAAAAGCCCGTACAAAATGACAGTTCCACTGCTCACCCGTAGACAGCTGGTGTGTTGTAAAGACTGTCGTTGTCCTGCATCTCTTTGTAACTGAGAATAGCTGGAGTTAATGGTTGTTGCTAAAAAGCAAAAAATCAGATGTACCGCGCTGGTGAGCTCGTCTTAGCTTTGATGGAGCTCCATACATTTGATGAAAAACATTCACCTTTCCAATGAGATCCTTTCGTACGATCACAATTGTAAGACCAGCCGCGCCGAGATTTTTCTGTGTTCCTCCGAACACGATTCCGTGCTGAAATCTTATCAGTAATCCATTGTGACAACTAATCAACTAATCAGGTACTCTCACGTTTGTGAAGTCAAATGGGCGTGAAAGGAAATTCGACGAGATGTCAGCGACCAGTGGAACTCCATGAATTGAATGAGGAGGCTCGTGGAATTCGATTCCATGAACAGTCTCGTTAGCACAGTAGTACAAATAGGCCGCATCCTGAACATCCCATCCTCTTGAAACACAAATACTTTTCTGGTCAGTAAATGGCAGGATAAGCTCACTTTATCGTGATCCCACTGGTCCTGCGCTGGGATCGTCACATAGGGTTTGTTCGGTGTGAATACCTGAACGCATTTTTATGTGATGTTTTCGAGCGACCGTAGCAACTTTAGTAGATTTTGTTCAACGTCTTGATTTGCATGTTCCTGTCGTGAAACTACTTGCATGGTTAACGACACTTTCCGCGATAACCAGATGGGCGGGACTCATATCCATGGCTCTTCCTCATTGATTGGCTCTTTTTAGAACGATGAAGAAGAACAAAAGGATGAACACAGTAGTGAGGCGGATATATTGTGAGCCTCCGTCCAACTACTTATCGTCAAATGTGTTTTACATGCACTCCGATTCTCTGCTGTAAATTAAATTGAAGAAATGAAAGAAAAGGAAATGAAATCGCTAAAATATCCTATAGGCCTTCATTGTGGTCACTAAATTGTTTTCAGTATCGACCGATTCTATTATGCAAAACTTCGACTGAATTCCCAGAATAGTGGCAAACAATTTTAATTCCTGCGGGTTTCCGGACTATTTATGAAAAAAAAACGGGGCAGTTCCTCTCGGAGACTACTCGGCGAATCTTGGGAGCTTGTGTCTTGATCTGTAAATTCGTTTAACCAAACATAATTCTTCTAATTTATACTTTCCACAGCTTTACAAGACTTCGCACGTCTTACCAAAGCGAGATGACGGGAGAACTGCAGTGCATAACCCCCTCTCCCTCCCAGGTAGAAGCGCCCACAAAGGTTAGAGCTCAATAACGAGCATCGGGCAGGAATCTCAGAAGTTAGTTAGCGTTGTTCTTTCTGCAGACATTCATTTTCAGAACTCATGAGGAGATGGAAGGTTCAGTGCATGACTTTCCGGGGTACTACTACATCAGCAATATGCAATCTTCATCTTTCTTCTTTCAGACTTTTAGGCTTGAAATTGACTTCTCAAAGGCGGCTTGCTCACCTTCTTCACTCGGATGTACTTTCGGGCCTCGTCAGCGGCTTTACACGACCAGGCGCCAGTCACGATGTAATCAGCGAACTCGTGATGGCCCTGAAGTACCCTACATCACTTGGAACAATGCCTAGAAGACTGCCAGAAGATCATTTCCTATGAAAGGACTCCACGCTTCGTGAGCTCATTGCGTAAGTGATTCAACTCAAAACGTTACCTTAATGTTCATTGGAATCGCTGCAAACTGTCCAGTTCCACCTCCTTGCATGAACAGAATCTCAAAGTTATCAGGAACATTCCTACAAACACAGTCTTTCAAATTCTGGAATTGGAACATTACGGGCAAGTTTAGCTCCTGTTATACACTCAGATACAAAAAGCATGACTGAAACCTGTAGTTTCTGCTCATGTAGACGTTCGCTGTGTAAACAAACGACAAGGGTAATCCATCACTTTAGAAAATGAATGGTTTTCGTAGATTACGATAAGATCTCAAACAAGGGCATGAGCCTACATTAGTTGTCTAAGTAGTTGTTTGGTCTCCTGAAGGACAGCCGCAAATTCTTTCGAGCGATGAGACATTTCTGAAAAAGTGACCATTATAGAGTGTCTACCCGACGTCAACGGTTGGGAACTTACCAAGGATGCTAATGCCTGTTCCATTAAAATTGGTCAGTTCATCGCGGGCTTTTAGTAATACCTACAAAGCTAGACACTTACTTAGAGGAGTAGAGAACTATTACTTGGAAAATGACCTCTTCTGGGATCTTCGCCGGACCAGCACCAAAGTTGATTTTCTTCACTTGCATTGCTGAAGAAAGAGGTTAGTAACTGGTGCTTACAAAGACAAGAATCAACAAAAACTTGATAAGTCTCGATAGTAAAATAGCAACTGAACGATAGCTGTGAAGAAAGGAGTTTTAGTAAGGTGTGTTGTCAGCGTGTATTGTTCCTAGCGGATATGTAGGGGGGGGGGGTGAGAGCGCTAGGGAAATGTGGAGAAGAGATAAAGTCCCACAAGTGAGATCAGATACCAGTGAGATCATGTGGGATTCGTGGACTGAAATTCTGATACCCATGCATTTTCTCTGTTTTTGACTACCTCTGCTTCTTAAAATGGAAAACCGCTCAAAACCTTGGAGTCATCTATCCCATACGATGATTCTCAGACAGCTAAATCTTTGAAACATAATACGTCAAGGAGGTAAGATGTTTAGCTCAGCCAACCGCCACCTCTGTCTAAGGTTTAGCCCTTCAACGTCAGCGACCAACTATACATACAAGATACAGCATCGTTGTGCGAAACGAGGGGGTCGTACTCGGCCGCTGGGGAAGGGGGTTGTAAACGCAGGGTCGGTGAGCACAAAAAGAAGCACAAAAGTGTCGTGGCTAACTCTGATAGAGTAGACGGAAAGCTGCAGAGGACCCGGATGTAAGGAAGACTTAAATATGAAAACAGCAATTAACATTAACTCGTAAGTAGGTATATGACTAAATAATACATCTCAAACAGATTCGTGCGTATCGACCTTTCCAACCACAAAACAAACATCTGCTTGCTCGAACAAAAATGGCCTAAAATTAGAAGTTACACCTGTCCACCATCCCTTCGCAGAAACTTAATGCACGGCACACACTCGAACCGAATTGATCGATAATCAAATCGTGCTTTGACTCTGTTCAACTGGAATATATGTTTTGAAGACAGTTAAAGTTTGCGAATGCGTATCCCTACAATGACATAGTCGAGCTTCTGAGTGAACCATTCTATCTTTAGACTAGGGTCTTCAGGAAAACTGTAGAGTTTGTTGGAAAGAGGAAATATTGTGTGTTCTGATAGCGTTCTTAGTCTTGCAAAAGACTGCGTTCCAAATAAGTCATTCTCGTCTGAGCCGCATACAAACCCGCTCGCGATTTACCATTGACGCGTCCGTTACCCATACGAAATATCTCACGAACGGGGGAAGATTCAGATCGCGAGTAGGAAGAAAACGCAACAGAAAAGACATCGCCACAACATGCCGCCTTCTGTTTCTCGAAAGTCCCACCGCTAAAGAAGCCATCACCCCCAGAAAAAGCCTCGCGATCTCTACCCAGCCAACACCACCGCTAATTTTCCATGGAACCATAAAGCGGGCGCAAGCTCTTAGGCAGCGCTCATACTTCGCGACAGCAGCGGCGATCGCCGGTACTTGGCAGAGCGCGCCCCAACGCTATTACTTGGACCGCTCTGAAGGCTTTTAGAGAGAAGCGACTCAAATTCATGCTTTTCCCTTTAACTGCAATTTTCTTAGGTACTGAAGTTGGTTTGACACAAAGGAAGGTGAACCCAACTTAATGGCTTTTATTTTCTATTCTCTTTCTTCATTCAGGATAGAAATGAGCAAAAAGCGTGAAAGCCCTTTTAGGTAAGTTTTTATTGTTTCTTTCATTGTCGAGCTTATACATGAAGTTTCACCTGAGTTGCGTAAGATCATTAGTGTTTTGCTTCCTAGGTGAGTTTCTTCCAATTTCTTTTTTTTTCTTCGCTGCTTGCACTCGACTTGTATACTACAGATGTTTTGGAAGTTGGAACAGTTCAGACGATAGGAACTTCTAAGGCGCTCGCATGAATCGAAACAATAAAACACAAAAAAAAACAAAAAGAAGGGATGGAGCTGGGCTTATCCCGACCTAAAAAGAAGTGAAACCTCCTTATCTCATATTCCAGATCCGTTCATGTATAGAAAGTCGTAAGTTATCAGTTAGTAGCCATTATTCAGAGAAAAGGTCTTACAATTGGACTCCCTTATTTATCAAGCGAGCGGTCCATGATAGCGCTGGGGCGCGCTCTGCCATGTACCGACGATCGCCGCGATCGCCGCTGCTGTCGCGAAGTATGAACGTTGCCTTACGAGTAGTTCGGTATCTAATCCTTCTCGTCAGAGCAAACAGCAAGAGGTTGAAATTGGGAGGTTGTACCACGATCCCTATCCGGGAGGTGGGAGTCGTACTGACACCGCCATTTCACGCATTACGATGCTGTACCCTGTATACATACCGTTTTCGCCCATCTAAGCTCTCCGTTTTCTCAATAGAATTCAACTTCTTACTATGCGTGTGAGTCTAACTCAAATAGTTAATAGTCCAGTTTAAACGGATTGAGCTCGATAGTTGATTCTTCCCCTTCACCCTCAATACTTGCGAAGTCTTTTCTCACGAGGCCTAAAGCACCGCTTCGTAATTGTAACACCAACTATAGTACAAGTCCTTGCTGGAAGAACTCATCGACCTGTCTAACCTAAGAAAAGCGAATAAAAAGAGAAGTGAATGATAGCCATAGCTAAGATAGCTCGATCTCATAGTCAGATGTTTATCCCAGTCAGACCCCTATGAGTCCCAGATACATTCAAAGCCGTTGCCTATGGCTTTGGCCAGTAAATGAGCATTGGTACATTGTTTTATCATGCAAAAGAAGAGGATGGAGCGTGGTAAAAGAAGCACTTCAAAAAAAAAGTTAATGAGTCAAACAAAGTTTCATTCTGCTTTTTGCACCTGGGCAACCTCTGGCGCTCATCACTAAGATGTTGTTGTTGGGCAAGCAGAGACACGCGGAGTGTTATGTCAGATTCACTCCCAGCACTTTTTCACTAACATTTGATATCAGTAGTCATCTCTCGCTTCATCATCATAGACTGCTCTGTCATTCAGTGATGTATTCGTTCCCTAGCGTGAACTAACGAACGGCTACTATTTCCAAGAGGTTGTGAAGAACTGTAGATTGAACTTCGTGACCGGTTGCAATACCACCGGGGTACTGGATCCATTTTCCGATTTTGTAATGCATCTTGCCCGTCTCCCCAGGACCTAGAAATGAGCAAGTCTGTATTTTTACTCTCGCATCTCGCAGATATGCCCACAAAAGTGGCGCTGGAGGAATGGAAAGCCCGGCTGGCTCGGGGGAGAGACGAGCCGTGATAGGACGCTTGTGCTAGGTGACGCCTTTTGCCACTACACTACCTCTACGCTTCATTCCTTATATTATTACAAGATAGCAGTTGTTTCAAATTGTAGTAACCCACGAGAAACCCGTCCTAAGCCATGCTCAAAAACCACGCCTAGTCCGTCTCAGGGATAAGGAGTGTATTAGGATAGGGGATGAGTTCATTTTCTACTACTATCAGGAAAGAGATGTCTAAAAAAAAGAGTGCACACACTAAGCTCTAATTACTTGCCTTATAGAGGAAGGAAATGTAGTGAAGATGATTTTATCTACTCTTATCCATCGATAAGGTTACTTGTCACCCGTCATCAGTGTCCTTGTCACAAATGCTTCGTAACTTGGTACTGCGAAAGCTCCACTACTTTCAACTCCGACGACCACCGCAGCGTTTCCTATCAGCCCCTATCAGTCGCTATGGTTTTATCTCACCCACCGCGCTGATGTCCCCATCTCACCTTCTATATCGCCTGCTGGAACAGATGCCTCGATGCCTGTGACATGCGATATGAATACCGTTACCTTACCTTTCTAACGCCTCTTATCGAATCTTATCAGCTGCTAACACTTCTTGTCACCCACCGATGATGTTCATGTGCCATACCCTATATCATATCTTGGAATCAACACCCAGTTGATGCTGTCACTCGCGTTATCTATATGGTGACCTCCCCTTCTAACGCCCCTTATCGGATCTTATCAACTGATATCACTTCCTGTTATCAACTAATAGCGTTCCCGTCACACCCCCTACATCACTTCTTGGAACCGACTCACTGCTACTGGCACGGGCAGTGTGAATTTCGTGACAGACAGACAGACAGGCAGACACACCACACTTACAGACATACTTAGCTGTTTATATTTAGCAGTTAGTTAGTTAGTTTATATATAGCAGTTTATATATATGTTATTACGCTGTATTATTGAATACTGTCCTTCGTTCTGCTATCTTGAGATAAAGACAAATACCATACTATAAAGATAAATACTATCTAAGATAAAAATAGAATATTTTTAGCTCGTTCCAAGCTTAAGTGTAAGCAAAAAAGTGTCATAAAAGATATGGCCGATAGCACAAGTTTTAGTTTCTTCCCTATCAGAAACTGCTGGTATTTGGCTAACTTTTTGTCTTACTTGAATTTGCCGTGCCCCACGTTACAGAGCGCTGCGACAGGTTTATTGTTTAGAAGTTGCTTCTTGTCCAGAATCTCGTCTGAGAAAAACTGCTAGACTTTGCTTTGCGTCCACGGATTGGAAGTCACCACAATAATTTCGATGCAGCCGAAAAGTCTTTGGTTATCAGGGATCAGCGATATTTCCCCAGTGTCACTGATAAATCGCCTACACGATGAAATTCATTTATGTCGATGACTTTATAAGTAGATCAACCGATGACGAGAGGGAAAGGCGGAATTCACAGTTTCAACTAATCAGTAAGCAGAGGGCACTCCGCAGTGAAAAACACTCGGGTCATTGCATAATCGGTCAGAAGCAATCCGTTAACGAAAGAAAGCAGTCATTCAAAGCAGATTGGACAACAGTGTTAGGAGTGGGGCTCCCATCGATTGTTGCCACAAAAGACCTCGCGATTCGTCAAAGAAATATCTTAACAGTGATCACTCGAACTCTTGAAAAGGGCTGCTTTCAAGGCTGTTCGACTCTCCCCCTACCCTTGTTAATACACTCGAGTCATGGGATGAAAACCTACGGAATCCCTGCAACCATGTTCGAAGGTTCTCGAACTATTTTCTATATACCATCCTCTCATCGAACAGGATGAGATGAGAGCCGTTTGCAAAAAAAAACTCGAAAGATGCAAGGCCGAGT